ATTTCGTTATCATTTCCTGACCTTGACGTTTGCAAGATGATGCTGAATCAAAATCACGACACAGCTTTAGGTCATGGATACAAACACACTAAAACATAAATCCATTATACTACAATCTAGGGTTCGTCATTTAGGGCTCGGGTACGATTTTTAACAGACATTAGATTAATTTCGTATTGTTGGTGTTAATCCAACAATAATGTGGTACATGTATATTTATGTCAGAGAAAAGTCTAAAATTAAACTCACCATAATTTTGGACAAATATGGGCATTATGGTCTAAATGCACTCTAATTTGGAAATTCACCTCGCCCTGCAGTTAAAAAAAAAGCACACAAAAAACAAACATATGGCTGCACTGGGTAGATTATAAAGACAGGCAGACCGTATTTGAAAATGTTAACACAGAAAGAGACTTTTCTAATCGTTGCTCTTAATTTTTTATCTTTCCTTTGCATTTATTCTTCCTCACGACAAACAGTGGTGATGTGGACCCTTATAGATGTTAATGTTATTATTTTCTACCAATTATATTTATCATATAATTACATGAACAATGTATTGTTTAAGTCTTATTTTGACAATGTAGACATTTTACTTATACTTGAGAAACACTACAAAGAACATCTAAGTTCGATAGTGGGGATTTGTTAAGCATAAACTAATAACAATCGATGTCCAAGTTATGTATCAAATAAGATATTCCAACCATAAAAATTACATAAAAAATACATCGAAGAAATTCCAACAGCGTTAACATTGATCACAGATATAAGAACACAACCTATTCTTACTGCCGTTCTGGCATTATTCAGATATTGACAAATTTCATTTGTTTTGTAATCTCCTTTTCTAACAAACTGATGCTTTACAGATATGTCAAACCTTGCCTCTTTTTTACTAATTGAACCTCTTTGAAAATCTGAAGTTGTCCATTGTTGCAGGTTTCTGCCGTATTGATTTCAGTTCCTTAGAGTACTGGTATGACAAAACATTTTTGTTTTCAAACCACGAATATGCCATTAGTTTAAAAATAATTCTGGTTTGCGTCAAAATAATTGATACAGAAGTTTTGGAGATAAAATATATAAAAGTGAGTAAGGTGCACTTGAATTCATAAAGTGATTTTTAAAAGCACCAGTCTGACATTCTATTAGAGATTGTTCTTTCTGACGTATCCGTATACGTATCCGTATCCGTATACGTATCGAGGTATGAGAGGCATCTCGATCCCGATGATTTAACCGTGGGTACCATTTCCATCGTTTCTTGTTTGATTTTAACCTCATTCATTGGAAAATAAGATATATAGTAATATTTCTAATAAAACGTATCAAGTTGCTGTTCACACCTATCATTTTATGGAAGGATTTAAAAAAAAAAATGAAATTAGTAAAAAAGTATGTATATTTTTATTAAATTGTTTAAAAATTAAAAAAAGGTTAAAAAGGGACTTCCCCCTTCTCTCTCTCTCTCTCTCTCTCTCATACACACACACACACACAATATCAGGATATATTATTGTTTCATTCTCGAAGTAACCTTTACCAGTCCAAGACATATTTCCCATAATGCATACAGTCAACGCTCTTTATCTCTTGCAACTTGATTGGACCAATTAAAACTTCGATATATCCAAGGATTTGAGTTAACAAAGTTTAACTGTACGAGGTGTCAGAGATCAAACATTCTAGATGAGTATAAGTTTGTATACATCAAGCAGACACTTAAAATTGATTAACAAAGTGGAGAAGGGGGAAGCTGGGCCGAGGCAGAGAGAAACCAAAAAGAAACCAAAAAATGACAAGTCACCTTAGCAAAACTTTGACAATAAAAATGTGTAGAAATTAATAAAACTCCAAAAAAAACCTATTACTGGGTATGTATGTTTGTGGGGGGGGGGGGGGGGGGGTATGGATATTAAGTTTTGAGTTCCTCTTTTCCACAAAAATAATTACGGATACATTAACTGTGAAAGATTAATTTGACCATACTGCATACTCTGTGTGAATGTTTGTGTGTGTGTGGGGGGGGGGGGGGGGGGGCACTGAAAATTTCCATCCTCATTTTCTTTTTTTTAATTATTAACATTCTGTATATCATTTGATTATATATGATGGACATAGTTCTCCAGAAAAGCTTTGGAAAGCTGGCAATTGGGATGGTTTGAAAACTCTAAATTCCCTAAATTGTTAGGTGATAGCGTATCCGAAATTCCAGAGAGCTTGAGAAAGGACTACCATTTCCAAAAGTAATGCAATTACACGCATTTTTATCGCGGATGAATTAACAATTGTCGATAAAAGGAGAGATAAACGGAGAAAATTTTTTATTTATGTCTTATACATTACTTTATATACATGTTGTCTAAAGTTTACTTAATGATTTATTTATTGAAATTTAGACTACTGTAATTCTTTGTGTACAAGCGGGATCAAAACTCTTTAAAAAAAAAAATGCTGATATTTTATCAATTAAATGTTTTGTATAAATTTTATCCTTTTTTCTGTGTTTTTTTTATTTCTCTGCTACGTTGAAGCAGCCTCTTCGATTCTCTTCAATTCTATAAACTGCTTGTTGAATTTACTCACACTTGTCCCGATCTGGGCCAAAATGCATAAATAAATAAATAAAATTAAAAAAATGAATAAATAAATAAAAACCAGCTAGATGGACAAGGTAGCATAGAATAAATAGATAAACCTATTGTTTTGGAATTTTTTAGCCTAATGTTCTTTTTTTTTCTTACAAAAAGAGAGTTAAGATAATGAATACCATATTATGAAACAGTTTCTATATCAAACCATGAATTATATATAATACGCATGTACGACAACAAGAGAACTAAAAGGAAAATCAAATTTAACTATTGCATTTTCATTTCATTACCTATTTTTTGTCGCAATGAAGTCTTTTCAAGTTAATACTGCTGAAAGGACAAAATATAAAGCAAAATCAAGCCGTATGAGAATAGGCACGAAAGTAGCAATTTCAACTGGGGAGGGGAAGGGAAGACATACAGGTATTTGTCAAATAGTTCATTGAAAAAAGAATGAAGAAAGTCAACAGACGCTATGAAAATTTGTGTGTGTTCCCGGGGGGGGGGGGGGGGGGGTAAACTGGCATTTTTAAGCATATACTGGTAAGGGTCTGGAAGCAATTTCTCTTTAGAAAACGGCTACAAGGTTTTGTTGATTGTGTGGATATCAACGTCTTTTGCATTTTAGTGTGTGTGTGTGTGTGTGAGTGGGGGGTGGGGGGTGGGGTTAACTTTTATGTCATCTAATATTAATTACAGAATCAATCAATAAAATGTCCTGATGTTAAGAGGGAGAGAGGGGGATCCCGATAAATGTTTTTAAACAAAATTGCAATCAAAGTTTTAAACAATATAATGAAAACAAATACAAATTTATTTAATTTCATTATCTATTTTTTAAAAATTTTCCAGCGAAATGAAAGACGTTTAAAGCAGGTTAATACATTTTTTATTAGAAAAAATACCATATGCTATTATTATATGAATGGGGTTTCTTTAAAACCAAACAAATAACGATGGAAATTATAGTAAATAGTTTAGACATCGGGATCGAGATGCCTCTCTCACCTCGATACGTATGCGGATACGGATACTTGTACGGATACGTCAGAAAGAACAATCTCTAGTATAGGCAATAAAACGAAATATTTTTTTTCTAATTGACTGGTTTTAGTTATCTAATTAAGAAAATATCATAATATTTTTCTTTTCAATCTCTTTTTAATTCTTCATTAAAGAATCATATTTAACTGCTTTTCCATAAAATGAAATAAATATCAATAATACTTTTTGGACCGCCAAAAACACAACACTTCGAAAAAAATTCTTTTTATATTTACATGTATTAATATTGATTCAAAATCATGGATTGAGCAAAATAAATTCCCTTTTTTAAACAAAAAATATATTGTATAATTTAAAAATAATTATTGTAGCTAATTTACATTGTTATATCAAGGAAGCACTTTTTTTTAACTCAGAATTTTTTTTTCAAACGTGATTTTCAAGTTTTTCAAGTTGCAATCGAACCTGATATACCTAATGTTTCTTTGAACTTAAAAAAAAATACATCGAAACATAATAAATATCACAACTGCTACTTTCCTGGATCTGGTATTAATATAAAAGATCACAAAAATAAAAATTTATCATAACTCATAATAAGTAAACGCATGTTTCTTACGACGCATATTTTTTTTTAAGAATGTGAATCTTAAAAAAAACACATTTGTGTGTAAAATCATTCTTTTTGCTACGATAAAATTTTTGAATATATCTGAGTAAATATTTTTATGTTTCAATACAGGTAACACTATCAACATAATATTTCCTAAAAATACACCAATAATTGCTAAAAATTGACGATTGGAAACTATACCTCACTATAAAAGAATGTTATCACACACTCCCCCACTGCATTAGAATTTACCCATATATTAATTTAGGAGCCCGAACGTATAAAAATATAACATTGCAATCTACAGGGGTGCCTTTGATTAGTGCCAGACATTAACTATCAAGACTCAATCATCATACACCACATTCTTATCATTTCAAAATCGACGTAGATGTCTGATTCATCATAATATAGTACTTGTTTACGAGACATTTATCTTTTTACCCAAAGAATTCCAACTGTTTTAAACTTGACATTGCCAGCTTCCGAAAAAATGTTACTCCATTCACAAAATATGTTTACTACGCCAGGAAAAATATGCTCTAGTTGATTACGTAATTCTAAAACCTATACTTAATCATACTTATCTATTCTCTGATGTGTTTTTATGTTGGCGTGGCGTGCTCCCTTTTTGGTAAGATGCTAAATTGGTGATTTCCTCCCAAAATGCATTCGGTTGGGGATACAGGAAATTCTCCAGTGCTTACGGGTGACAAGAGATGACTCAATCAACACTATATAAAACAGAAGAAACAATTCAGAAATCATAAACTGAAAATACAGACGATACAAGAAGGAGAAATTAAGAGAACTTTATTTAATAGGAAACAGTAGACGTTAGTCATGAGATTTTATGCAGCTTTGGTTATCGTAGGTTTTCATTCGTACAATATTCTTTAATCGTTTATTTATATGTTTAATATTGTTATAATTCTTTTACATTATATTTATTTCACATGTAATTTTAATTTTCTTTTAATTTTTTTTATTGAATTTACAGGCTTCCTTTGGGTTAGCTTTGACGACATCCAACCCTATCTCTGGTAAGTGCTTAAGACTCAAGATTATTTGTCTGTATTTGTTATCCCTTGAAATAATCCAAAATCATTACCATCGCATGCAGAGAGTCCAATAGCCTTAAAAATCAATCGAATGTTCTGAAGATAAGCCTGCATTCTTGACTTTAACAGATTTTCGTAAATCCACAAATTGATATGTTTATCGCGATAGCCACACATTAGCTGTCGTTTTTAAAGGTTATTCACTTTGTTAAACAGAATCAACGATTTTAATTTTCTTTAAAAACGCCACGGTAAGTTAAGACATTACAAAAAAATTAATAAGCATCAAACAATTGTAAAATCAAATTCAAAAACGCGTCATTATGATTATTTCAATGCTTGATAAGGGACTAAATGTACATACGATCAAATGTGGTTGAAAATCAAACCTCAACCGAAACTTCTTTTAAAATGGTTTATTTTTCATTCTAACCAAGTCCACATCTGGTAAAATATTTGTAAAAAGGTTTTGTGGCCTTTTTTCATTTTTATTTTTAATATACATGTAATTACATGTACATACTGAAGAGTAAAAATTAATATTGTATTTTGCCATTGGTAGGTCTATCGGAATGCCAGGACAGTATAGCAGACGTTGTATTTGTGCTGGACTCTTCAGCAAGCATCTGGCCGCCAGACTTTCAGAGGCAACTCGTCTTTGTGGAAGATATTGTCAAAAAATTTAAAATTGGTCCAAATAACACACAAGTAGGCGTCGTCACATTTGGCGAAACTCACAAACTCCGATTTCACCTGAACAAATATCAGAAAGATGCCTCAAAATTACAGAAAGCTATAAGCTCCATTCATTTCGATCCTGGTAGATCAACAAATACCGGAGACGCCATCAAATTTGTGTCGAGTGTCATGTTCACAACAAGCAATGGTGCCAGAGATAATGTTCCCAGAGTAGCGGTAGTCATAACCGATGGACGATCTACAGATTCTGCCAAAACAGCCGAAGCTGCACGTGCTGCACGTGAAAGGGGAATCCATCTTTTCTCCATAGGAGTTGGGAGAAAGTCGGACAAAACTGAACTCGAGAGCATTGCCAGTAAACCGTCCAAAGAGTTCGTTTTTACAGTTGACAATTACAGCGCTCTAAAGAACATCCTGAACGTTTTCGCTGTCAAGACATGTCAAGGTAAAAATCTTTTGTTTTTAAAATTATTTAAACAAAAAGGTTGCTTTAAAACATATTATGAATTTTGGTTTATTACAATATGTTGCAAACTATTCTTAAATTTCAGTAACGACAACGCCTCAACCAACCACAACCGAGACTACCACCACTACCACCACACAGCCCACCACAACCACCACACAACCTACCACAACAACACAACCTACCACCACCACCACACAACCTACCACTTTATCATTTAGAGGTGGACAACAGAGTGACCAGTCTTTTGTAAAAGGTTTGTAGATGTATTAGTTTTGGTATTTACAATAGTATCGATATTTACTAGCAAAATACTAGTATTTGCTTTTTCTGGTAATATACAACCATTCAAAATTAAGTTTCATGATGCACTTGCAGAATGTAATGGAAAGCCAGCCGACATTTATTTTGTCATGGATTCATCCAGGAGTATTGGATATAGCAATTACCAGAAACAGAAGACTTTCATCAGTAAACTTGTCAGTGCTTTCGACATATCCAGCTCTAACACCAGAATCGGAGTCGTCACTTACAGCCACGACATCAAGGTTGACATTCCTCTTGGTTCCATTTTGACCGTCCCTGAACTTCAAAAAGCAACCAGAAATCTACCGTATCATGCAAGGGGGACAAACACAGGTGATGCCATCCAGTTCGTCAGGAAAGTGGGATTCGCTACAGGCGTTGCTAGACCCGGAGTTGCCCACATCATGATAGTTTTGACGGACGGACTGTCCATGGATACTGCTAAAACAAAAAAAGAGGCTGTCCTGGCTCATGATGCTGGTATCTATGTGTTTGCTATCGGAATCGGAAATGGTGTTGACACAGTGGAGCTTAGCGCCATTGCTAGCGACCCAGATAAAGATTTCCTTTTCCATGTCAAAAATTTCGATGCTCTGAATTCCATTAGAACATTGCTAGCTACCAGAACCTGTGGAATGTTACCTAAAGACGATGCTTCTTCAAATGGTAAATTGATAAGATTTTTTCAATTTTTATCCATTCTTCATTTTTCTGCTATTTTCTTGTCTTGCATTAAAGGAATATCTTTAAGTATGTTTCCATTTTCCACAAACTAATTTTTTAAAATCTCTTTTTAGTAATTCAATTGCCAAAGTATGGAATGATGGACATCGTATTTGTTTTTGATATGTTTGGAATCGGGACCCAGAAGACCCTTATTATCAACAAATTTATCTCCTCAATCGTGAAAAGAATCACCATTGGAATGGGAGACATACGAATCGGTCGTTTTACAGCCGATTGCCCAGAAACAACACAAACTGGTCTGGTCCCTGTGACGTCATGGAATGGCGTATCAAAAATTACATTCCCCGGACTTGGCAGTCTCATTGACAAACTTGACGCCTTCTTCGACCAGAATGGTGCCAGGTTAGGCGCGCGGCGAACGGCGGTAGTGTTTGTTGACGAACAAGAACAAAACGTAATGGACATTGTTAGCAAGCTTCATTCTCTTAAAAACATGAATGTCATCACCATCATTCTCGGCGAGGAGGAAAAATATGTTTTGGAGGAAACAAAAACGAGAAAGTATTTCTATGTTCCTAGCTATGAACAGCTCTTTAAATTCACTTTTCCTTGTTTGAAACAACTGTGTTTCTGTGACGCTGTATAGATTTGTGTATGAACTTACGTGACTGTGATATTACATTCCATTTTTTTTTTAAAATATTTGAATTTATATTTATATAAAAATATTTATGAGTCATTTCTTATTTATACATATTTTACATTTTATACATTTATACAACTTATATTTGATGTTGGTGCTATTCATTGTTCAGTATTTGCCCAACGTCGTTTTACTTGAAAGAAATACTAAGTATTCATGATTGTATGTGAACTCATCCATGACTCCCTTGAAATAAATTTTCAAATGTGATTTATTTTTGCTTTCTTCTCTGTTTAATAAAATAAGTTGTTTACTTTGACAGCTGTGACCGTGTAAGTCCTTTGGGGACTTAACTGATTTTAATTAACTAAGAAAAAAATAAACAAATAAAATCTTAGAAGTTCTGAACATTTAACATTCACTTTTATAATGACAGCGATTTTCCGGATCTGATTATGAAACCTCACCTGGTTTCTTTTTTAGTCTAAATTCGATACATCCGATGTCGATTTTGTGCTACTGTACGAAACGATTTATCATTTTCTTGTTAAAAATGATTAGAGAATGGCCAAATTGAACAGTTGAAAGATAAATGGTTTGATTTTTTTTTATAAGTTTAAATGATACTTTGATATGATAACTATAATAACATCCACGGACCGATTATTATCACTTGATCATCAAGTTGATGGATATAACATGTAAGCACAGGGGCTTGCTCCCGGCTTATAATAATTTATGAAGGACATAAACAACGTACCTTACCTACTGATAATTTTTCAAGATATTCTTAATTTAAGATTATAGTGCCATCAGATGTTCGTAGGCAAAAAATCAGCATGCATTACCGGAGGTTTTGAAAAGATATCAATTGATGAAAATTTCAAAGAAAAATATACAAAAAATACTAAACATATATTCTAGATGTTTTGTTTATCCAAAGTTGTTTTAGAAGAAGTGTACAACAGCATATATAGACATTAAATTATAGCACACAGTTCCTTTAAGTATTGGAACTCTTTAACTCCAGGGAAAAAGACAATAAAGTTCAAACTACGTTGTGTATGTCCTTAAAAAAATCACATACGTATTACCTAAACAACAGTATTACATATATGACTTTTTAATAAATCATAATTACAAGCCTGGAGCAATCCCCTGTGGTGTAAGGATAGGGACAGTACAGTTGTTTCCTAGTAGCGAATATTTGCCAGCATCGAATAATATTTTATTTAAATATTCTTGAAAAATGAGGGGTTTCAAAATTTCTTACAAGGTGAATACAATAAAAGGATTAACATTTTACCCCTGTGTAGTGTCTTTGTAGCATATGAATGATTATTTTCCACAATATTTACAAAACTAAAAAATGAATTCAGAACTAGGAAAATAGGGAGGTGTTGTAAATGACATCTCTGTGCCTGTACCATTCAAATTTGGTACCACTAATTTGAAAAGCATAGAAATACAAATAACAACCAAGAACATTTGGAACTTCGACCTTGTAGGTTGAGTGCATGACAACAACAAACCAATTTGCTACTGGTAAAACAACTGTATTCAAGTTGATCCCTTTGCAAGACCAATCTCAGTTGTAAATTCCAAAAATACTTTTACAAGAAAATTTTGAGTTTATCAGGACGAAAAATTTTGAAAGGAATTGCTGACAGGTATGGTCTATTGCAAGAGTGACCCTTCTTTTTATTGTTTCAAAATTTTATAATGAAAAGGGGATTAACTCAAAAATTTTCTTCATAAAGAAAATTGAGTTATTATCAATAAAATTGATCAACCAGTAGGACAGTAGCATTTAGACTAGTGTGGCAGTGCCTGAGAAACTAAATCTTATTTTTGGGGCTCTTCTATACATTACCAATTTTATTTTTAACACTTGCCAATGGATAGTAGCAGTAATCAGATAATGTTGGGGCTTTCTTACATATTTAGTGTAGATATACTTTCCTCTGGGTTGAAATTCCATGGGTTTATGTTTCCAGTTTAGTTTTCTAGTCCAAAAACTAATGAATTTGTATGCAGTTACAATTCAACTAAACATATAGACTGGAAATTAAAACACTAGTTACATGTAGTTGATGAGAGATGTAATTGACCCTTTATGTTATTCATGTCTTACAAAATCTGTGCATCCATAGTTTTTCCATGTACAATGTGGTTTTTCAAATCTTGAAAAATTTTCTCAATATTAAACAAATATAATAATTAAATTTTAACAGTGATTTATGGAGTCCAAAGTAAAACAGAGAACAAAGGAATGGTTTGACATACGTCAATCAGTTTACCTGACATCATCAAAGTTTGGAGATGCTCTTGGAGTTGGAATGGGTAAACCTTATGATTTCTTCCTCTCCTTGATGTCAGATGATAATGATGAAGATGAGGAAGAAATAATGGAATCATCACATACACAACATGGAATAACGATGGAGGAGATCATCCTGGAATGTTACCACCTTCTGACAGGGCACAAGACAAGGGAGTCTGGTTTTTGGGTGTCCAGGGACAGGATCCTTCAAGATCTGATAGGTACATCTCCAGATGCAGTCGTTGTGGATGATCAAGAGGAAGACATTGGGTTGTGTGAATTTAAGGCTCCTATATACAGAATGTACAAGACAGATAATACAGTACAGGGTAATTTAGTCATTTATATTTGTAAATACAAGGTAAATTCTAAGAGCAAGGTATTTACATTTGCTAGTGCAAGTCAAAAATTTCTTTGTACATTTTTGTACACACAGTTTAGTGCAAAGAATCTTCTGCCCAACAAGACATATTGTTATAACATATTATTGAAAGTAGTAACCTTTTCTTATCTCCTGATCTAATATTAAGCACTGCATCCAAAAAAGAAGGGAAAAAAGCCTTGGGAACCAAACCTGTCTATTATTTCTACTATATCTTTATTTGAAAAGTGGCAATGATTTTCTTTACAATTTCCATTATTTCAGGTATACCTCGACATTATATGGCCCAGATACAGGGGCAGCTGGCCATCACAGGACTTCCATGGTGCAATTTCTTGGCTGTTTGTAAAAATACAAAAGAAATCATGTTAAAAAAAGTATATTTTCACCCAGAATACTGGAACAATGTAGAAAAGATTCTGAAACAGTTCTGTTATGCTTTACAGGTAAGCTGTGCAGCACAAAAGGTGTTAGTACACATATGACAGGCATTATACTTACAACTTTGAATACAATCATTTTATATTCACTTACAATATATTGTAATAAACTTAAGTTCTGTGCACATACATGTACATATATCTTTAAAACAAATATGGGAACTTTTAATACAGAAACTATGTATCTTTAGATAAAATAGGTGAATATTTAAAGCAGAAATTCGATTTTTATAATAAAGGTCAAATTAACAATATGATTGTCTAACAATTTTAAATAGAATTGAATAAGTGTTGACAAACTCCTTGATATTGTTTTTTTTTTTTTCAAATACATGTATGTAATATAAATCTTATTCACTCTGTATGAGTAGGATGCCAGATTGAGGAAAGAGTTGGGTTATGATCCACTGGATTTTGAGGGAGCAAGGAAACTAGAAACTTGGCCAGTACAAATAGATTATCTACCTGGTGAGCTGTCAATCAAAGTTGAGGACCTCCTCCAAATTGACAAACGCAAGCGCTTCAGTGGTCCATCCAATGTTTGGCTGTCATTTGATTTCCTGATTGGTCAGTCTTATTCTCTACCTCCTTGTTTACAGGAATATGCCCAAAAAATGATTAACGAAGTGGATGAACAGTTAAGATGTAAGAGAAGGAAGATCGAAGAGCAAACTGTTGTTAACGCAAATGGACGATCATGATAATTTGAGTTATTTGTAATCATTCACAAATTTCATACTAAATTATATTGTTCCATTTCTAAATTTGATTAATACTAGGGAATGAATTGGACATCTCTAGCATTCTGTGATAATATCAAACAGTTTGACACATGTTGAATCTAGATTTAGTGAAAGCTTTGTCTGGGCTTGAAGGTCAAATTGTTTAAATGTCATCTAAAGACATTAAAAATATAAACTTTTTTTATGATCTGAAGATATACTTGACATGTACCAATATCTATGTACTGTACTATATATATATTATAGTATATAATCATAATATATATTAATAAATTGTAATTGAATTTTGACATATTACATGTTAAACATGGTAAACATGCTCTTACCCTGTATTAATGTTTGTAATTCAAAAATAAATCTGTAAGATTCATTTCCTAATGATGCTAATTTGATGATATTTAAATAGAATAGATACAGTATTATGATAGTATATATAAGGTCATTAATAACAACGTATTTGTTCTTTCCATCTGTCCATTTAGTATATGTAAATAATATACGAAACTCAGTGTTCACTTACATGTAGCAACAATTGTGTTAAAATAATTCAAACCTCTCTCTTTGACCTTGTTATTTGGACAATTCTTCCTCTGGGCACCATGGATCTCTGCAGTAAGTTTGAAAGTGAAAGGTTCAAGAGGTCTTTTAACATGTCCACAGTTTAGCTCACACCTATTACTGTCATTGACCTTTAGAGTTAAGATCATGCCACATGCCTTTCTGTGGCAAAGATCAAGTGGTAATTCTCATAAACTGTCTATAACTTAGTTTAATCATCATTTGTCTTTGTTCATGATCTTTTAGACCCTCAAAATCAGTGTTCTTTTGATGACCACCTTGCATTTCTGTTGCAAATAAGAAATTGAAAATATAAGTAAAGTCAAACCTTGTTATCTAGAACTTGATGGGACCAAGAAAAAACTTCTAAGATGTCCAAGCATTTGAATAAGTGGTTGGGACTTCCAAATCACTTCATCATATCCATGGTATTCGAGATATCAGTGTTTGAGATATCTATAAATTTTACACATATCATTGCCTGTGGTTTGACCTTAAATGTTTTGACCTAGAAATCAGTAGGCTTCTTCCTCTTGCTCTTATACATCTCTCTGCATCTCTCTGCAACATTGACATGAATTATAATATGGGCCAGCTTCTACAGTTCCTTGCAACTTTGATCTGAGGGGATAATTAATATAGAGAGGAAAATAATTTTTAACACATTCCATATATTCATTTATCTTCTTCAGTTGTAATCTTGTATTCTCAACTACCCCCCCCCCCTCCTCAAAATCCTCACCACAAGTACAAAAACCAGTTATAATGGTACATATTCCCTTGCAAACTTTGTTATTGGGGGATAATAAATGGCATTTTTATGTCAAAGTATTTATGAGAATTTTTTTTTTAACAAATTACTAATTGAAACTTCAGTAATCAAAATAGCAAATCTTATGTTCACATTAATTTATTGAAATGTCAATAATGACAATTTACAATAATAATATTTACATGTACATTGGTATGGTTCATCACTCATGATAATGTACAGAACACAGACTGAATATTTACTGGAGTGACAGTTTTTTTGTGACTTGAATTTATCTTCTGTAGCGATATCGTTTAAAATGGAACCACAGTTGGAAAATGTTATTCTGAAACTGACAACGAAATCCATGTTTGTAAGAGTATTCCCACTCTCTGTGTACAATTTTGAAGGCAATGTCCTGAAAAGTAAAGATACATGAAAAGCTTTGTTCCTCATCTACGAATTTTGAGACATTCATCGACATTCTTTGAATTAATCAGGAGAGGAAAATTTCAGGGTTGAACAATGTTTTCCTTCGTTGAAACCAAGAATGGGAGACATAACAAGCAATAACATCTGAAATTATGCACTTTCCTCAAACATAGTTTGAAAACATTACTTTAATTTTTCATTTTAACATAGTGCTCATAATTGTGTAATTATACACAATGAAAAAATTCATTGCAGTTTTTGAAAATGTGTAGTAAAAAGTACATTGTGCTTACTTCATAAGGTGGCCCAGCATGAAATCTTAGAACAGCAAAATCTTTGTTGTCTTCTATAGGTGTCTGAAGTAGAAACATTCATTAATATAATTATACACAGGCAAGGATGTTTTTGGTCGAACTGAAGAAAAAACTCACAATATTGTAAGGAGATATTTGTATCTTCATATTTTTGTAAAATTCAGTTACTTACTAATGTGTACTCGGGGGTATCTGTCTTGTCAATCAAATCTGGATAAAATATCTGAAAATAAAAAAGGAGACCCATGTCCCACAAAGCTACCTGATTCATCAGTTAACAAAGTTTAAAGGGTCATTTCATGACTCTAGTAACTTATGGTTGCTTGTGCAGCAAATTGTAATCTTGCTGTTCTGATATAGATTTTTTTATGAGTTTTGTTTCTTACATAACCTTTGTCAAACTGTGATTACCTAGTCCTATTGTGGCCCAACCCAAGCTATGAGAACCATGGTTTCTCCACAACATCAGGATGTATGCACATTAAACTACGTGTATCTAAATGTAGCTCTGCTGTTCTTGAAGAATGTGAGATATTGACTAATTTTTAAACATTTACATCATCTATTTGCAGCCCCACCCTAGCCTGTGGGGCATGATATAAACAAGCATAAATCTACATTATACGAGAATGCTTATGTATAATGCTAATGCAAACAGTTGTGACTCTGCTGACTCTGAGAATCAAAAAGTTAAAAGATTCTTTTCCATATTTCAAATATTAATTTTGAACCCCCTGTTGTGAACCCACCCTGCCCTAGGGACCATGATTTGTATAAATTTGAATCTATTATTTGAGAATGCTCACCAATTTTTCAACCACTTATGAGCTGGCTATAAATTTTATTTGATGAAATACAAAATTCATTCATGGAAAAAGTTTTTTAGAATGATAAAAATTAAAAATGTGTCTGCAACATATACATGTACTGTATTCAACAGTATATTGATAGGTATTAAACTAAAAAAAAATTCAACATTAATTGTGATACGGATAAGGTTTGATTTCAGAATTATATCCTCTTTGCATAAGTAATACATGTAAATGAAGAGGTACCAGTAATTGAATGAATAAGTGCAAAATAAAATGAATGAAAAGTAATACATGTAAATTAAGCAGTATTGTACATTTTACACAGCTTAATGTTAAGAAAATCCTACCCTACATGTATTTTACAATTAACTAATAATTTCCCCTAAGAATGGAGTAAAGCCCTTCATTTGAGCAAACTTTAATCCTCCTAACCGAAGGATACATGTACTTTGTACAAGATTTGGTTGAAATTCTCATGGTGAATCTGAAGAAAATGTCAAAAAGTGATTTGATAACAGACAGATACATGGAATGATAGATGGCTAACAAACAAACTTCAATCAGAAAAAAATCACTCAAGCCCTAAGCTCCTGTGAGCTAAGAATGAAACATGAATTTAAAGCAATATGAGCTGCATTTTTGAGAATTTTATTTTGCTGTTAAAATGTGCTGTTATGATGTAACTGTATGTAACTTAAACTTTTATGATCAACTAGAATAAAATAAAGTATTAAATTATTAAAGTATTAAAGTATTAATGCAGCTAATAAAAGTGTTCCATTTAAACCTGCAAAATTTACAAAATCACAACGAAAAAATAAACAAAGACCAAAATGGATGACTACAGATTGCTTACTCCTACGAAAAGAAGTTAGAAATTTAGGGAAGAAAGTACACAAATATCCAAACAACTGTGAACTAAAACATGCCTTTGCAAAATGTAGAAAAGATTATAATAAACTAAGGAAAAGTCTTAAATCTAATTTTTACAATAGTATTGCAGAAGAAATTAACACGCTCTCGCCACAAAACTCCAGTAAATTTTGGAATAAGATAAAAGAAAATAAATCAAAGAAAACTAATGCAGAAACAATTGGAATTTCAGAATTCGTTGACCACTACAAATCCTTACTGAACATTCAATATACTGATGAAGAGAGCTTGAAATACAAGTACACTGAACTAAATACTGAACCAAATCCATTAGACTTTTTGTTTACTCAAGATGAAATAGAACAAAGCATTTTAAAGCTGAAAAATGGTAAAAGTGCTGGGCCTGACTTAATTTTAAATGAGTTTATTAAAACAAACAATACTACCCTTTTACCTGTCCTTACAAAACTGTTTAATATTCTACTTAAAAATGGAAAAATGCCCAAAGAATGGAACCTTTCACTTATAACATCATTATACAAAAATGGTGATCCTAATAATACAAACAATTATAGGGGTCTCAGTGTTGCAAGTTGTTTAGGAAAACTTTTTACAGGCCTTCTACAGAAACGCTTAGATAATTATCTTGAGTCAAATAACCTACTAAGTCAATATCAATCTGGATTTAAAAAAGGTCATAGGACCACTGACAATATATTTGTACTAAAAACACTTGTAAACAAATATCTTTATACAAAGAAACAGAATTTATATGTGTGCTTCGTAGATTTTTCAAAAGCATTTGATACTGTGTGGAGATCTGCACTTTTATACAAATTGAATAAAAAGGGTATTGGTGGTAACTTTCTCAAACTTTTGACAGACATGTATACAAATACATACTATTCTTGTAAAAAGGACAATCAAATGAGTGAAAAATTTAAAGCTAATAGAGGAGTCAAACAAGGTGATAATTTAAGTCCAACACTTTTCAATATCTTTGTTGATGATTTTGTGAATTATCTTAAAAATGTAAGCACATATCCTGCATATCTAGATACTATGCCAATAAATCATATGTTTTTTGCTGATGATCTGGTCCTTGTATCAGAATCAGAAGTTGGTCTACAAAACTGTATAGATGTTTTAGGAAAATATTGTTCAGACTGGAAATTGTGTGTTAATATGGATAAAACAGATGTTATGATTTTTTCAAGAAAAACAGATGATGAAACATCATTTAGATTTTATTACAATCACCAAATGATTAACATAACGAATGAATATAAATATTTGGGTGTTGTGTTCAGATCTGATGGAAAAATGAAATTTGCAGCTGAACAACTATCAGAATGTGCTAGGAAAGCATATTATGCTATTAAATCAAATTTTCCTGCAAACATTAATTTTTCAGCTGAAATTATGTTAAAATTATACCAGTCAATGATAATACCAATTATTACATATGGATCTGAAGTATGGATAACTGACTTCAAATGTGATTTAATGTCTTCAGACCAATTTCCTTTTGAAAAAACACAACACTTAATATTTAAAGACATACTAGGGGTACATAGAAAGGCATCAAATCTTGCTGTTTTATGTGAATTGGGTCGTTTTCCTTTGTACTATTTATGTTATGAATATATGTTTAAATATTTTAAGAGACTTAAGGAAATGGAAAACAAACATGATTATAATAATTATTTAGTGATTTCTGCATTTAAAGAAGACAAAAAACTTGTATCTAGAATATCTTGGCAAAGAAAACTGTCTTCATTACTACAAAAATTAAATATCACTTCTTTGGATATTTCTCACACAACCTTGAAAAACAAATTACAAGAGCATTACCTAAACAAGATACATGAACAACTGAAAAATATAAGCAAATCAAACTCTGGAAAGTTAGCTTTTTATAGTAAAATTGTAATTCAAAATGAATACAAATTGCAAAGTTATTTAAAGCTGCCTTTAAAGAAAAGTTTTAGATCTGTATTAACAAAATTAAGGATCAGTGCCCATCCATTATATATTGAAACGGGCAGATACTGTAAACCCCCTATTCCTAGAGAAAAACGTTTATGCTATTCATGTAAATTATTTATTGAAGATGAAAAACATTTTGTTCTATACTGTTCAAAGTATGACCAATTTAGAGGCAATTATACTGATATATTTAATGTAAACACATATACTAGTGATAATCCCATTAGAAAAATTGTCAATCCTACAAATATTACAACTGCTAGAAGGATATGTTGTTTTTTGAAAAAGTGCTTTGACACCAGAAAAGAAAGTCAGCAATGAATACTTAGAAATATGTGAATATACTCTACATTATTTTGTTCAACTCACATTTGTCACTTTGTATATGTATGTATTATTCTTGTTAATTCGTTTTATGTCATGACTGTATGCCGACATGGTAATTGTCAATAAAGTGAATTGAATTGAATTAAATTGTTACAGAATGTACAATAGAATGTACAGTATTATATAAGAAATCAATATTGTACAGGACCACAATAATGTAATTTTGCTTCAATCAAAGCTTATAAATAGTTCTTCCGTCGCAAATATGAACAACAGACGTTCACAAACATTCTTTTTTCTGTCACTGAAATAGTTAATTACAATTTTGCGACAAAAAAATTTCGACATCAAAGTTGCAGCTCATATTGCTTTAATATTCAATATGAATACCCTGTACCTGTAAAATTAAGAGTTATTGGGTGTCAATATTGTAATGGAATAAATTCTTACATTAAATTTGTATCCCTGTACAATCTTGGGTGGAGGATTATCAATGTCATAATGGGTCTGATTGTACTTGTTCCACTCAAAGCCAGTGTGAACTCGGTTAAAGAACCGTGGTTTACGAGGACGATACTTGTCAGACCATAAAAATTTCTGGTGCTCCGTAGGAATTTCTACACTGAATGTTGCCTCATCATCATTCATTCCCTCCCTGGCTTTCTTCTCAAATTCTGTCTCTCCATCCAACTAAAGTGAAATACAGAATTTATCATATGACTTAACTATGAAGCTATTGCAACTGTACCATGACCTATCCAGTAAATAACATGTAAACTCTACCCTGAATTAGATAAACTAGATAACACTTACAACTACTGAAAGCAAATCTTGACCAGTTAAATGGATATCAACTACAGCTAATAATTTTACTCTTACCCTGACTCGCCCTGTTGATAACACTTGCTGCCTGGCCAGCTCCAGTTTTCTCATGTCATCTGTGGGGTCATACACAACAGTATCAATCTCTAGTTCACTCGGCCTGAGTAGTTTAGGGGAGTAATTTCCAGCTTCATAATCAATGTAAGATTGATCCTCCAAGTCTTCTTCTGTAATCAGTGCCTCATCACTGTAACAATAAAATAAGTTGTAGTTTATCATGCCTTATCCTCATTATCAAATCATTTCATACACTATGTGTTGTGGTTTTCAACTGCATGTCACAATAAATATTCAAGAAAGGAAAATCATCAGCGGGGCATCAGCGAATAGATTTTATGTCATATATATTATTATATTATTATATATTTTAATGTAGATGTACAATTACATAATCTATAGTTTATTAATTTATTTATTAAAAGATGTTAGCTCTTATGTACTCTTGAATTTTAGGTCTCATTTGGAAATTTTTTTAAAAAATTTGTATCTCCAGTAGACCTGTTCTCAGTGTTTAATAAGGTAGTTTCAGTTAGGATCTTACTCTTCATCATCTGCCTCTGTACTAGGTCCAGGACGGGGCTCCTCCTCCCCTGGCTCTGTTTTGACAGCACTGGTGGATGGTCCTGGTGAAGGTTGGTTCTCTCTGGTATCAGGAGGGGCAGGAGATTGGGTCTTACTGCCAGAGGGTGCTGGTGACAGTCTCCTGAGACCAGAGGGCGCTGGTGATAGTCTCCCAAGACTAGAGGGGGCTGGCGAATTCCTTCTGTCTGGTGTGCTGTTGTTGCTGCTACCCCGAGACACACCAGAGGGAAACAGAGGACCAGAGTCAATTCCTTGCTGTAAACATTGAACAGGATTATTTGTAAAAGGAAAGGTACTGTATAATTTGAGTGCAGGACTCTACATGTTACATTTTTATTGTACAACATAACTAGAATTTGATTACCACAATATTTTCAAATTTTAAAAAGCTCACATATTTGTACAATATAAAAGAATACTTTTTATAAATTATCTAGAAGTTTATTAATTATCTCAGATAATTTCAAAAAGGTTTTAATTTTGTGGTCTTACTCTGTCACACCTAGTAAAAATAAAACCCTATTCAATATAGGAATGTACATGTAAAGAATACTTTTTGTAGATATAATTAAAGAAAACAACATAAACTAAGTAATCTTTTCTTAAGGCTGCAGACTAACCTCTTGTTTCAGTTTGAAGAGTTTCTGTCTGAGATTTTCTTGGTGCCTCTCCATCAGTCTTGTTCTGGCCATGTGTGCCTTCAGCTGCTGAAGTAGTGACTCCCAATATCCTAAAATAAGTAGCAATGAATAAGAAGACATGATCTTATCTTATATCCACAGCCTCATAATGCATATCCAAACTCTCTCTCCATGTTGTATATACAATTGTACATTTATTTCACTAATCTACCGGATATATCATAAACACTTGCCATACTCCTTATCCACAGGTATTATCCAGTAAAACACTGCCCATTCTCTTTCCCTCTTGCATACACTTTCAAATTGCATATGTAATCCACTGAACCACTGAACCATGTTTATGTGTACCCATTATCCAGATTTTAAAAATGTATGATTGCTAAGCATGGACCCTTGCAATAATACACTACAGAACACACACTCTCCTTCTCTCTCTCTCTCTCTCTCTCTCTCTCTTTGTGTGGGGTGTGTATGTGTATAGTGCACACATATATAATGCAGCCAGTAAACCTACTTCTAATCTTTCTCCATCTTGTACATGATCCACTGTACATCTACACTCTCTTTACCTTTGATATGTATAAACATCAAGGATACTCACCACCCCTCTCCACATGTATATAATCCAATTACCTAAATCCACTCCCTCTCCACTTGTGTATCATCCACTAAAAAAAAAATCAACTCCCTCTCTACTTGTGTATAATTCACTTACCTATATCCTCTCCCTCGCCACTTGTATAAAATTCACTTATCTATATCCTCTCCCTCTCCTTTTGCATATAATCCACTTACCTACATCCACTCCCTCTCCTCCTTGTAACTTCTTTTTGATCTGTTCCTCCAGTAACATCAGTTGATTTGTGGTTTTACCTTTGAAGATGGACTGTACTTCATTGCTGACTGATTCATTGATTCTTTCTCTTCTGTCCTGGTAATCTAAATAACAAAAATTTATACTGAAGTGAAGCCAGTCTACATTGTATACTCTTCCAAATAACGGTTTCAGTTTAGACTAATCAACAAAACAATATATATTTTACAAGTGTTTTCTCAGTTTTGAAATTTACTTTCAGATTGAAAGTAAATTAAACTTGAATAATATTTGGTTTCCAAAAATTGTGATTAAATATATTCGAAAGATTAGTAGAGATTTAACATTGATGAAATGGATATATAAGCATAATTATTTTTTTGAATGTAAAAATGTTACAACATATCATGCACAAGATTTAAATAAACCAATTTTTAATTTTCTTGTTCAAAGTGAAAATTAACCAATATATATGAGACTAAGCCTATATAGAATTGATGCAGTCAAGTTACAAATTTTATGTACTCCAAGACTACTTCCTGTGACAGCTGTGGTATTTTTTACATGACTGATAAATAATGTTTACCCCTCTGACTTGAATCTAACTTCCTGAGTTGAGCCAGTTCATCATTAGCAATAGTAATGATATCCCTCCAGTACTCCACATTTTTCCCTTGTTCAAGTTCCAAATAGACTTTAATGTCCTCTAGTAAATCTTCCAGATCTGCTATTGTCAATCCCTAGAAATAAAGTGAAATCATTTTGTATATACATAAAAAATATAGGTACACATATGGTAAAAGCATTCCTGAGAATAATCAATAATTAAGTTCCTGGTATATAAAAATGTTACGATACACATAAGAGAATATCAGCATTTTATAGATTTAGGACATAATTTAAGACAAAGAAGCATTTTATAGCCATAGCAATAGGCAATTAACTGTGAATATATAGTGATTTAACAAAAAAATAAGTTACATATATGTAAGAATACAGGAGACTCTTAATGTCTTACATAGAGATAAGTATATGGCTCATGCATTTCCACTGCAAGATCATCATCTTCTGCACTGATGTATTTGGCTAACAAGTCAATTGGTTTAGCTACAAAAGATTTCATTTAAATGTATGTATGAATCAAAAGCCTTCTAATACTCTTTCCTTTTGCAAAATCCATAGCCAGATTTTTCTCCTTTACACACATTAACACTCTTTTTTTTACTTTCTGAGGAAACTATTTCGGACTTTAGCACTGGGTGGATACTGTTAAATAAACAATGGAATTAAAAGGCAACTGTCAAGCTCCTTTAACTTAATGATAATTTAAATTTTAAAAATATTTAAATAAAAAAAATCATAAATACCTCTGCCATCCTGTATTCGTATCTTTGATCTGAGTTTGGCTTGGTTTAAATGAAACTGAAAGTCAAAAAAAAAAATCAAAGACAAGTTTAAAATACATGTATTAAATATTCACTATGTGAAATGGCCAAAATTGCACTGAAAAATACTTTTTCACTCTAATTTAAGAAATTTCCAATCGCAATTATTTTATAAGATTTACACAGAAATTGATTTAACTTACACTATCTTCTTGTTTTTCCCACACTCTGTAATATTCGGACTCTTTCTCTCTCTGCATTAATTCCTGAACAGAAATTAACAAATAAGAGCTAAACAATACCTTATTACTGATTCTGCATGAATATATCTCTCTCTACAGGTCAGTCTTTAAACTGTAGCTCATTTTGTGAAGGAAACTTATGACATTTACTGTTTTATCTACAGTATACTATTTTTAGAACTATATCTAGCTTACCCGCTCCTGTTCTCTCTCCTCCATCTGTCTCTCCCTTTCTTGTCTCCTCTTCTTGACCTTTTCTAACTCTCTCTAAATGTGTTTGAAAAAGTTAACATTTGAAAGCTTTTCAATTCACCATCCTCAACTGATATCAAACAAAATACATGTATATCAACAATTTACATTCTAAGAAAAGAATAACTCTCTATCATCCCCCCTTTTTACCCCTTTTCTTTCTTTCTTTTTTTTTTTTTTTGTAAATGAGGGTAAATATATATACTTGTACAATGTAAATTTAATTTGCAGATACAGCAAAACCCTTTATGCATATATTACTCAATGTTCCAAAATATAATAAAATATAAACATGATAAAGCCAAAAGATATAGTGTTATTTTTTATAACTGAATTTACATTTTAAACTTTTAGAAACAACATTGACTCAAATGCTATGCAATAATATTCATTACAAATCATATATCTACAAAATTTAAAAGATTTTTCACACTCTTAACATCAAATAATGTACCGTAAATATGTATCTTTCTCCTCCAGTGAAAGTCTGAGTTGTTTATTTTCACTTTCCCTTTAGTTCACTTACCCTACTTTCTTCCAGTTTCATTTTCTGGTGTCTGTGGATTTCGTCTTCATTCATGTGCTTTTTTCCTTCCTTTTCCATCTTTTTGTTCCAAACAAATGTATCTAAGAGATGCTCATCTCCAAATGGATTGTCTGCATTTGTGTAACCCTAAATTAAACAAGCAATATTATATAATGATTATTTCATCAGACTTCAAATTGTAAATTTTATCTAAAAATGGATTGTATATATACCAAATAGTCTTTGTCCCAACCCATCTTTTCCTTGCGTCGTCTTTCTTTTGCTTCTTTTTTTGCCAATCTTCTGGCTCGTTTTTCTTCTGGTGTTTCCAATGTCTTCATTAATTCTTTCTCTCGTCTATTACAAAAAGCAATTTTGTGTTTCATTTAGTATGTCTCAAAATAAACCCTGCTTGACTTATTTCAGCAAGTCAAAATTACTTATCACAAAATATTTCTATTGCCTTTTATGTGAAAGTATGCTGCATGAATTTACTTTAAAAGACTATAAACCCCCACTTACTTTCTCTCCTCTTTATTTTTGAGAATGGTTTCAATCTTCGATTTCTCCATATTTCTGATGCGAGATGAACCTCCATCATCATCTGATTCTGACTGGGAGCTGGAAGGTGTCCGATGCCTCCTTTTTTTGTGTGAAGTCTTTGATGAACTTTCATATTTGTCCCTTTTTCTGGAATGTGACCGTGACCTTGATCTACGTTGCTCCACTGGTGACCTTGATCTGTGTTGTTTCACAGGTGATCTTGACCTTGACCTATATTTTCTTGGAGATCTTGTTCTTGATGAGTCTGAATCAGATTCTGATTCACTGTCTGACCTACAAAATAAAAAAATCAAGTATAAACAATTTCCTGTTATGTGGTTAATGTGGATGCATTTGATTGATTGATTGTATGTTGTTTTACGTCCCGTTTGAGAATTTTTCACTCATGTAGAGACATCACCATATACCGGTGAAAAGCTTCAAATTTAGACCTTTACTCAGCACTCAGGGCCATTGAGCAATGAGAGTTCTTTATTGTACCAACTCCTACCGTGACACGTGGCCTCGGTGTTTATGGCCTCATCCAAAGGACCCGCAACTTTCACTTCAAAGTGCTAAGCGCTTGGTGAAGGAACAGTTGCTACCTATTAGTATTTTTTATCGACTTAGGTCAGTCAAGGCTGTGATTCGAACACACGACCTTCCAATCACGGAGCGAGCACTTTACCGACTGAGCTACCTTGATGGTAGGATGCATTGAAATAAAGGATCAAATTCTGCTGATCATCATTAGGCCTAAATAGTTTCTCATTTTCAAGTAATTGCACTTCACAAAAAAAGTCTGTCACTTTGTGAGAAAAAAAAATATAGTCTAAAAGAAGGATGTTTTGGTGTTATGTCTGCTCTGCTTCATCTGACTGGTCAACAATACACAATTTAAATATGGATGTTCAATATAGACTAAAAGAGACTAGGAAAACATCTCCTGACAGAATTCTTGCAAAAATTTTATTGTTAATACCATATTGCTTTGGAAATCTGCCTCTCACAGAGGGGGACCCGTTTCTTGATAAAGTTTTGTTTCTTACTATAATTTTTAACTATACCGTACATGGCAAATTCTAATAAAATATATACAAACTGATGACAGTGAGTGCAGCAAACTTCATAGATATTGTCTGAAGCATGAAAAATTTACTAATTTCTGTCAGATGGCACACACGGTGAAAGTAATACACTTGTTAATGCATATGTGGGTTTTTCCAACATCCACAGGTCATTCTATAAATAACATTGATGTTCCGACATTATGTGATTCAATAGTTAAACAGATAATTTTAAAGTCATTTTTTAGCATAAATATGCTCAAAATAAACATGTCCAATAAATATTATCATTGTTTATTTACTCTATGAACTATGGGCAAATACTTAGTTCAAGCGCACATGCTTGACCCACATTCAACAGCTTACGTTGAATAAAAAAATCAGACACCAATGTACTTAATATGTTGTCACAATATTTATATGTAAGCAATGATGCTACATAATGTGCACCCTTTTTGTTTAAAAATGACTGTAAAAGTAGGGACATCCCCAAAATAAAAAAAAATGTAGTAAATAAAAAAGGGGGAGGGTCACTAGGGTCTATTCAATTTGTAGAAAGCAAGAATAACACAGCACATAAATATGATAAAAAGACAGTGGCTTTAGAGGAAAATAAAATAGAACAATTTTTTTGTGATTAGATCTATTTTTATAAAAGAGAACTCAATTGTTTAGGTTTTTTAAAAGTTAACTTGACAATATATTCAAAATATAACATTTAAATTTAAAAAAAAAATAAAATTAATGATGCATTTGTATTTTTCATTTAAATATAAATTCAGATACATGCACAAGTAACTCAACGAGACACGCCGTGCGCCGTCAATTCGGCAAAATTCCCCCCATGCATTAAAAATTTTATGGGGAAAACACTGGACAATGTGTAGGAATGGAGGAAATTTGGATTGAAATCTGCACATATTCTTCAGAGAAATTTTTATCAGGCCATGTGAAAAATTCTAAATTCCAAATAATCCTTTGCAGTGCATAACAACATGGTGGCTTTGGCATAGCAACAACTTACTTGAGAAAAATTACAAACATGGATTTGATGCAATTTCCTGCCACAAAATTATGGTTTGCATCCTCAGTAAACATGACTTTGTATGTGACGTCATGTTATCATCACTTAAACGGCTCAGCTATTTCTGATTTTGTGGGGAAAATCCGAGAACTTCGGAATCTCAATCCCGATGTATGGGGACTGCAAAGTTAGAGATATCGATTAAAGAAAAAGATGAACTTACAACCAGTCTTCGACAAATCCCGGGAGTCCGAAGCCTGGGACCTGGTAAAATTGGAAGCGGGCATGTGGAAATTGCATACTTACAAGCCCAAAGGGCATGTAAATTCTGAGGCCTAAGCCTCCGTATTATCAAATTAAATAATACCAGTAACATTAAATGTACTTTAAAGTCTGATTTTTCATCTACAGTGGAGCACCAAATAGAATTTTGACGATAGTTTATTCTACCGCGATTTCCAAGGAACTCTTTTGCAAAGGAGACACAAAAAGTGTACAGGTTGAAAACAATATTAATGGCGAGACAATAGATCGACAGAAATGGATTTCGGATCATTTCCATGGCATGAAAAGGCAAATAAGAATAAAATTACTTGACAAAATTCTGGGCATGTAAATATTTGTTCGGGCTAGCGTAATAAGTGGTTAAACCTGCCCGAAGGGCATGTACTGAAAAAAAGATTTGGCGAAGACTGCTTACAACACACAGTAAATGCAGACTAAAGGAGTCTACTGAAAAGTGTAATGTAATAAGCAGAATACAAAAAACGACACTTGAAAGGTGAAGAGAGTTGTAGAATAATGATTAATGATTACAAAAATAACTGTGCTTGCCCTAACGGTTTCACCATCGAATATTAAAGAGACATACGAATGGGATTGATGGGTAAATCACATATTTTTTTCTTTTTAGAGAAGTTAATTATGTAAGTTATATCTTGGTAAAGGGGGGGGGGGGTAATGAAGAAGATCACACTTCGTTCAGGCATTGGTCTCTTTTTCAGGTGCCTTTGATGCATTTTCATTCAACAAACCAGAGACATATAAAAACCATATATCTCTGAACAAACGAAATCTGTGTCCTTCAGTTCTGCTACTTAGAATCGTTTAAAATGAGAGATGGTTTACCTTTCGTATTTCTTCTTCTTATGGCGATGTTTTTCTTTAGATTTCTTTTTGCTACCCATTTTCGTCAAATTCGTATGTCTATCGTAAAACGTAAAACAGGAACTTTACATTTGAATACTAAATTTAGAATCAAAAACGTCTCAATGCACTTTATCCGGATATCAGAAATCGCACCTGCGCCTTTTTATCTCACACAATATAACTATAAATCAGTTATTCTACAAAAATGTGACCAAATAACTTTTTTTTTAAGTCGTTAAACAAATTTACCGCTGTAACATCATTATTATAATATGAATGACTTAACATGAATATATGTCGTCGTTTTTTGGTTGTTTTTTTTTTTTTTTAAATTAATTTTTTGTTTTATTTTGTTTTTGTTTTTTATTTGTTTGTTTGTTTGTTTGTTTTTAAATATGCAGTTAAAGTTTGACACGAACAAAATAAAATGTTTAAAAACCTAAATCTAACACAATAAATCTTGAAGTCGCTTCACTCATTTACAAATTTCATGACGAAATTTTCAGTTGTGCAAGCGTTCCGATTAATTGCATGGAATATTAAAGAAAAGTTTCTTTCCCTATATAATAAGAAAACAAACCTCTTCTTGCAGAGAAATGCTTGGATCTTAATTGTTTCGTACGATATCATAGTATATCGCAGCAAATCAATTAACTTCCGTAGTAACGTTTTTATTTTAAACCATGCAGATACGACAATGAACTGGAACCTACCTGAAAATGACCACGGAACCTAATACGATCGATTCTACTTTCGAGTCAGATAATCAAGACCATTACATTTTCGACATGACAAAATGAATTGCACAAAAATTGTTCGCTCTTTTAAAAATTTAACTTCCGTAATTTTTAATTAATACTTAATTCGTTCCAGACTTCAAAAGTCATGTTATTACACCATTATACACCCAACAAAGTTTGTACCTTTATCAATTTCGTCATTAAATATTGTTTAAACTAAGCATTAATTTCCTTAACATTGCCTTCTGGCTGCGGTGTATCGAAATTGTTGTATAAGTTAATTTAAAAAAAAGTTAAAGTGGATTTTTTTTTTCAAGTGCACTGATACAATGTATGTCCTTTAAGGAATAATGTTGTTCAGTTGGCTATTTTTAAGCAACATTCCCCCCCCCCCCCATGTTTTATACCCTGAATTGCTTCAGGTCTATGTTTTATCTTAGAATGACTGAAAATTTACTGATATACTACTGAGAAAATTACAGATAAATTGGACATAATTAAATAATTCAGTTCATAAATTGAACAAGTTTGGCGTTGTACACGTTACCATCATCTTCTGCATTAAAAGGATTTTAATGCTATGAGAGAGAGAGAGAGAGAGAGAGAGAGAGAGAGCGCAATAAATAAATAAATAAATAAATAAATAAATAAATAAATAAATAAAAGAAATCTAATTGATGATTTGAATTAAATATGTCATTATGGATTAAAAGCTGAACTATAGCTTTAGTTTATTGTCCATAAACTATTTTCCGATTAAGAGATACTGTACTACTAATACAACTGTTTGGATGTAAGGTGTTGAATGAGGACTGGAAAAAGAATTAGGAAATATTGAAACTTGTGACGTCAAGATCATTATGACGTCACAATTTCCAAAGGTGTAGGCAACGAATGTCGGAAGCTTGTTGTGCTTATGTGACAGATTATATATTGGTGGAAATTTTTCCGAAACGGGATGAATATCTGCGATCAGGTTAGTGATTTAATACGGTTGTGGAATATAGTTTACATTTACATATATTAGAGTACTAGTATCTTGCATTTTTTATTTAATGTAATTGATTTCGGCCTGAAATTTAGGACAGGAAATGTGAATTTTTGGGCGTTTTTGGCTACTATGCTTGAACTCAGAAAAATAAAATATTTTTAGGTGAAAAAGGACTTTGTCTAACAGAGAAATAAAGATGCCTTAAGTATATTTCTATTTCCTTGGTCATATTTGATTAATTGTATATGTGCACTATGTTAGGTACATTTTCATGATTTTGATATATAATTCATTTGTTGATTAATAGATTTGAAATTGGGGAATTGGTAAATTGGGTATAACAGCCAAATTTCAACCGATGTTGCAACGAGGGTTTAATAAATCACTAAGTATCTCTAAATATTCGTAGCCAGTACATAAGAAACTACTTGTTTGATAATGGATCACTGATTCGTCACTGTTCTTTTAACGTCACAATATCAATTATGACGTCAGTATGTTTGATGTTTTGACAACGAATGGCGGAACATTGTAGTCATATTCTTTTCGATGATTCTATTCTGCAAAAGTGAAATTGTGTCTGGAAAAAGCTATGATAAGTGTTAACCAGGTTAGTTATCAAGCCAGTAATAGGCAAAATATGTTCTTCCAACATTGGTGGGCGTGAGTTTAAGGTTTTGATTTAGTTTGCTTACTCATGTTTTAAAAAATTATATCAATATCAGTTTCAGTCATGATAAATTGAAACCAGGTAATAATATATGATGTCCTACATATTTATGCTTTGGTATTTTACCATATGTGCGACACTTTATAATTACTGATATTTACATGCTACCCCCCCCCTTTTTAAAAATTATAAGACGCTGAATTTTTAAAAGTGTTTCTTGTAAATGATTAATATGTGTCTTGTCTTTGTAGAACGAAACTGAAACATTGGATTTTGGGAAAGAGGCTGTTAAAAGTGTGGTAAGTGCAGCTATCAAATATGAAAAACCTACAAAAAAAGGGGGGGAGCGGTGCTACAAAATACACGAATCGAACTTTGTTGCTAGGTGTATAAAATAAAGCAATAATTGATATTTCATAAGGGATTTCATGCTAACATTTATTTCCAGGATGAGAAGTTGGCTATTCTCAAATTCCACTATAGCTGGGCTGAAATGGTAGAAAGGGTGGAAGAGGAGAAATTAAATGAAGAAAAGGTGAGATATAAAAGTCTTCCTCCCAAAACTTGTTCTCGGTAACTATTCTTATTAATTGGTTCTAAATATTTTGTTCCTCGAATCTGGAGAAAGAGGGTTAACACATGAAATAACAATGCACGGAGTTTTGTTTTGTTTTTCCTCAAATTTATCTTTGATAATCAAAACTAAAATTTTAACATTTTTCAAACGACGTTTCAAATTATTGAAACTTAATGCACACTTCCTCTTGTAGAATGAAACCCAACTGAATTTCGGGGAAGAGATTAAGAAGACTGTGGTAGGTGATTTTTTTTGTACTGATCGCCTTTGGAATTAATATATATACATGTATATATATTAGTGTTGTCAACGAATAACCGGTTAATCGTCAAACGAAGCGAATATAGGTTAGTAAAGTTGTTACTCGGTTACTCGGACATAGACACAAAAGTAGAAAAGAAATATTATTTTGTTCATAAATTAATACTTACATATGTCCCTCATTTTATTTACCGTTATTTAACGACTCAGTTTTCACAGTTTATCTAATTGATGGCTTATATTTCTAAGGAGTGTATATACAAGTTTAGAAGATCTGAGTTAATTATTAATGACCTCACTTAAACTGTGCGAGTCTGCATTACAAGATTAAAGAAGATGCCTCCACAGCATCAAAAACGTATATTCCGAAACATTTTAAAAGAATTTAAATCTGTAACGCGCAAAAATACTTTAAATAGAATTAACATACACCGGAACATAACTCTTAAACCAGCATATAGGATATCCTGCAAAATGTTCAACCAACTTTTACGGGATATTTGAGAACAAATTTGTTAGGAAGCTTTTGAATTTTACAATAAAAAATAAATTACAGGCCGGTATTTAATGATAAATAATGGAAATTGTAACGACGTTACAAATATTACAGTTAATATTGAATATATATACCGCAAGCAAAGGATGTTGGAGGTCTAAAGAGAAACCATCCGAGTAATGGGGTAATCGATCGGAAAAGTAAGCGAGTAACAGGTTACTAAAAATCGTTTTGACAACACTAATATATGTAATTAAATTAAAGTAATTACATCTAAATTTAAATTTTAGGAAGAACATTTGGCCATTCTAAATTTAAAAGATGAGATGGTTGAAAGGAAGGAAGGAAATATAAAGACAAAAGCAAAACAACGAACATATATTAAACCGAAGAAAATGAGACATAACAAAAAGTTAAGAAAGGAGAGAGAGGAGGAAAACTTGAAGAAAGAGATATTGAAAAAACAAGTGGAGATGTTGAAAAAGGAAGTAGAGAAGAGATTAAAGACAGATGAGAAAACTAGGGAAAATAGAAGAGAGAAATTAGGGTCAAAAGAGAAAAATGAGCAAGAATCAGGAACAGAAAAAGAGGACCAGAACAAACTAAAAACAGAAAGAAAGGAGAAGAAATCAGAGGTTGACAAAGCAGTGATGAAGTCAGAGGACAAAACACCTGAGGCTGAACAAAGGATTAAAAAGTTGGAGGCAGAAAAGAAGGGAGAAACAAAAGAAAGCAAAGAGGGGGAGATGTCAGATATGGAAAAAGATACAGAAGAGAAAATAAACACACCAGAGAAAGGCAAGGAGAAATGGAAGCCAGATACAGAGGAAAGGATAGACACATCAGAGAAAGACAATGAGAAGGAGAAATCAGAAACAAAAGAGAAGATAGATACATCAGAGGTAGACAAATTGGAAGAGAAGTCAGGTACAGAAAAGATGATAGGCACATCAGAGAAAGACAATGAGAAGGAGAAGTCAGATACAAACGAGATGACAAATACATCAGAGATAGACAAAATGGAAGAGAAGTCAGGTACAGAAAAGATTATAGACACATCAGAGAAAGACAATGAGAAGGGGAAGTCAGAAACAAAAGAGAAGATAGATACATCAGAGGTAGACAAAGTGGAAGAGAAGTCAGGTACAGAAAAGATGATAGACACATCAGAGAAAGACAATGAGAAGGAGAAGTCAGAAACAAAAGATAAGATAGATACATCAGAGACAGACACATCAAAGAAAGACAATGAGAAGGAGAAATCAGAAACAAAAGAGAAGATGGATACATCAGAGGTAGACAAATTGGAAGAGAAGTCAGGTACAGAAAAGATTATAGACACATCAGAGAAAGACAATGAGAAGGAAAAGTCAGAAACAAAAGAGAAGATAGATGCATTAGAGATAGACAAAGTGGAAGAGAAGTCAGGTACAGAAAAGATGACAGATACATCAGAGAAAGACAATGAGAAGGAGAAGTCAGATACAAACGAGAAGACAAATACATCAGAGATAGACAAAATGGAAGAGAAGTTAGGTACAGAAAAGATAATAGACACATCAGAGAAAGACAATGAGAGGGAGAAATCGGAAACAAAAGAGAAGATAGATACATCAGAGGTAGACAAATTGGAAGAGAAGTCAGGTACAGAAAAGATGATAGGCACATCAGAGAAAGACAATGAGAAGGAGAAGTCAGATACAAACGAGAAGGCAAATACATCAGAGATAGACAAAATGGAAGAGAAGTCAGGTACAGAAAAGATTAGAGACACATCAGAGAAAGACAATGAGAAGGAGAAGTCAGATACAAAAGAGAAGATAGATACATCAGAGATAGACACATCAGAGAAAGACAACGAGAAGAAGAAGTCAGAAACAAAAGAGAACATGGATACATCAGAGGTAGACAAATTGGAAGAGAAGTCAGGTACAGAAAAGATTATAGACAAATCAGAGAAAGACAATGAGAAGGAAAAGTCAGAAACAAAAGAGAAGATAGATGCATTAGAGATAGACAAAGTGGAAGAGAAGTCAGGTACAGAAAAGATGATAGGCACATCAGAGAAAGACAATGAGAAGGGAAAGTCAGATACAAACGAGAAGACAAATACATCAGAGATAGACAAAATGGAAGAGAAGTTAGGTACAGAAAAGATGATAGGCACATCAGAGAAAGACAATGAGAAGGAGAAGTCAGATACAAAAGAGAAGATAGATACATCAGAGGTAGACAAAATGGAAGAGAAGTTAGGTATAGAAAAGATGACAGGCACATCAGAGAAAGACAATGAGAAGCAAAAGTCAGAAACAAAAGAGAAGATAGATACATCAGAGATAGAAAAATTGGAAGAGAAGTCAGGTACAGAAAAGATTATAGACACATTAGAGAAAGACAACGAGAAGAAGAAGTCAGAAACAAAAGAGAAGATAGATACATCAGAGACAGACACATCAAAGAAAGACAATGAGAAGGACAAGTCAGAAACAAAAGAGAAGATGGATACATCAGAGATAGACAAATTGGAAGAGAAGTCAGGTACAGAAAAGATTATAGACACATCAGAGAAAGACAACGAGAAGAAGAAGTCAGAAATAAAAGAGAAGATAGATACATCAGAGACGGACACATCAAAGAAAGACAATGAGAAGGAAAAGCCAGAAACAAAAGAGAAGATGGATACATCAGAGGTAGACAAAGTGGAAGAGAAATCAGTTACAGAATCAGACACAAATAAGAAAGAAATTCCAGAAGCAGAGAAAGAGAAGGAAAAATCAGGTGTATTAAAGAGGACAGAGCAATCTCGGGAAGAAGGAAAGGAAAAGGCAGACATAGAAAATAAAAAAGAGACACCAGAAGCTGAAAAACAGGAGGAAAAAGAAGATGTAATGAATAAGATTGATTCTTCTGATGAAGAAAAAGAGGAAAACTCAGCAATTGAAAAGAAGATACAGATTTCAAAGAAAGAAAACCAGGATGAAAAATTCAACAAGGATATAGGGAGGGAGGAAAATTTAGAGTCACGAAAAGAGGACGTAGAAACAGAGACAAAGAATGAGAAAAAATTGCAAACAGTTAAGGAAATAAGCATGAAAGCAGGGAAGAAGGAGATAAATCTAGATATGGAGGATGGCATTAAGTATACTCAGGAAAGACAGCCTTTCTGGTACAGCTTCCTTTGCGGAACATGTTTATCTGTGAGTACAAGTTGCTTTCACTAAATAACACTTTTCAATACAAAATATGTATGGTTCATTTATTGTTTTATTAAGAATATTCAATGTGCTTGTGGATAATTTTTTTAGCACACATCTTTTCATCAGAAGGAAAAGAAGAAGAAAAAGAACAAAATAATGAACAGAACAGAGAGAACTGGATTTTTGGAGAGAATTAGGAAGCTTTTTCGGACTTAACTTTAATATATTATACCAATGGCAGAATTATATATTTAAAAAGGATATTTTTTTTTAAAAAGTTTTATTTGTTAACCTATTTTTATACCTGTATTAAAATTATTTCTAAAGTAATTTTCTAAACCTTTGTTTTACTTGACCATCACTACAGCAACTCATTATTGTGAAAATCCTGTGTTTGAATTCGATTATTAATAAAAACAATTTTTGATGTATCCACACACACACACACACACACACACGTATATATTACATGAAACTACAAAAATGAGACATATTAAACTTTATGGAATAGGTGAAGATAATGAACAGTGATCATTCAAAAAAAAAAAAACAAACAAACAAAAACAAAAAAAAACAAATAATACAAATTGGATGGATACAATCATTGTTGCTATATAAACCACATCTTATCAGTTTCATAGCTTAATGCTTATTTCATTGGCCTTAATATTTTTTTAATTTAATTTATATTTTGTCCGGTGTGACTCACAAAATGTTTCTTCACAAATATAGCAAAACCTTATTATTTCGAATTTAATGGGCCTGATGTTAAACTTCGAGATATGTGATGAACTGAGGTAAAAAAAACTCACTTCGACATATCCATGGTTATAGAGATATCGATGTTCGAGTTATCGTAGCTCAACTGTAAGCCGTCTTTTTTTTTTTTGACATATTTTTGTCATTTTTTCAATTTGTGGCAAGATGGCTAATTTGTTTAATATTTAAATTGTGTATTTAAATATTCTTTCTGTGTTTCCTATGAAATATATCTTGACTAAAGTTGAAGAAATGATAAAAAAAAAATTCTGTGTAATATAAGCATACCAGTGAAGCATACGCGATATCTACTAGCACCAGTATTAGCAGTCCTTTGCTGAAATCAGTCTTTCCACTTTCTCAAAGAATCATTAATGTTTAGCATGTTTCAATTGTTGCTAGAAGTTTTTTTTTTAGGAAAAATGTTTAAAAGTGTTTTGCTATGTTTTCCGATATAAAACTTTTGATCCCCTATTGTAGTCTCATCTAACCTATGGTCATGGTTGCATGGGCTTGTTGACAGTTTTTTTTTTTTCAGATGAGAATGTACCATTTAGTCTTGATGGAAGGACAAAGTGCTGGTATTGGGTGTGCATTAAACCAGAATACCTTGACAAGCAAAAATAGATATTCTCTATTCATTTTAGTAGGTAGCATTTTGTTAGCAAGGGCTGAGGATTGTTTGGGGAAGATACCTCTTGAATTCAGGGTCAAAACGTTGTCAATGATGAAAACTTTTGACTTGATTTATTGTGCGATCTTAAAATTGATTTTCCTCTCCACTGACCGACAGTTCCTGTAGAAGAAGTAGCGTTTGAAAGAATTTAAAGAAATTTCTATTTTAAGCAACCATGGCAATGTTATTAGTGGAAATCAAAAACTGATGCACATAATTAAATATCTGAGTATAGTCTACTTGTATCCTATTGAAATTGGACCAAATTTGTAGGAGTTGCATTTTGAAAAAATTGTTTACGGACGGACAGACAGATGGACGGACAAACGACAGATACATGAGTGACATGACCAATGCATAAGGTCTCTAACCAGTAGAGCTAAAATTTGATGAAGATATCTCAAATTCTCTTTATAAATTATTGCTTTGATTTGATGATTCATGAATCCTACATTTCTGAAGGAAATCTTGCTACATTCTTGTCAACATGAAGTAGATAATGCAAATCAATATCTTTCCTAGCCATTCAGTAAGCATTACTTTATTATCAAATCATGATCTAAATGTGTCCTAGACATTAAACAGGATTCTAAACAAGACTTCTAAGAGCCAGCATTAAAAGACAAGTTACAAAAACACTACATCATCTGAAGATCCAACACATATAGAAAATTAATACGTGCACGTATCATCTACATCACAATAATTGCTCTGTTGTTAACCATGTAAGGAGCCACAACAGATAAATAGTAACAAATTTTGTCTTCATTCTTTTAATTAAATTAAATTAAGGTCTTATACCGACACATGTACACATCTGGATTATTTTCAGACATACATTGTACATTGAATGTTTACATATTATATTTGAGTTATAATTTCTTTCTCTTTATCAGATTTTAGACCCTATGATCCTATACTTATTTTCAATCAAAAGACTATTGTGATACACTGCATATTGCATACATATATGCTAAAGCAAACCCTCTTGTTCACCAGAAATGCTTAAGAAACATGTTTGCTTGTTCATCTCCCTCATTAAATGGTAGAAAATGATCAGCTTCAACTGTTTGGCTAACATTTACATTGTACAATATTCCATCAAACTAGATCTCAGCTTTAAAATCGTGGATCAAGGGTGCTGAATAAAGATACCCCTATGGTGAGAAATAATTAAAATTCTTATTAGAATCAACAGGTATACAATTTGTGAAATAAAACAAATTTATACATCCAAAAATTAATAAAAGACATTTCAGATATTTAAAGGATAAAAGTGATGGTCTAAATCTGTAAGAGGCGCAATATAATGAAATATCCAGATAATTGATCATATCAATCATCAGTAACAAACAAGAACATAGATCCATCTTCATCATAACTCGTTTCCAGTTTTCCTGCAGTGGTTCTTAAATCAATGTCACCATTATCTTCACAGTCACTTACTTCACTTGAGGATTTTTCAGGATTATCAATTTCTATCTGAAAATCATTGCCAGACTTGGATTTTCCTCCAAGACTAATGCGAGTGTTTTTGTGCTTTGAAAGATGTTTTTGGAGGTAGTGTTTCCTGGAGAATTCACTGTTGCACAAGTGACACACATAAGGTTTCCTTCCCATATGAGTTGCTACATGGCGATCATAATCAGATTTATAAGGATACATTTTGTTGCAGATCTCACATACATGAGGATGTCCACCATTATGCTGAAACCTATGCATGGAATATTCTCGTCTTGCATTGAATGAAATCTTACACTCCCTACAGTAGAATTTACTATTTATCATTTTTTGCCCATTATCTGTGTAAAGAGGTCTCTCCAATTCCTGAAAATTGCTTTCCAATTCCTTTTCAGTTTCTGAGGCACTTTTTTCTGGTGATTTTGAGTTTGGTTCCAAGCTCTGAACAATGCTTTCTATGGAAGGTTCCAAGGTTTTCATGATGCTGTCAACAGAGTCTTTCTCTCCAGGTTGATTACTCTCTTCTCGTTTGTGGATTGTCAAGTGATCTACCAATGCATTGCGTCTTTTGAATGCCTTGTTGCAAATGTGACACTTGTATGGTCTTTCATCAGAATGTGTTGCTTCATGCCTTACAAGGTCAGATTTGCATGGAAAAACTTTTCCACAAGAGTTGCATGTATGTGGAATTTCTCCTCTGTGTTCTAAGCGATGAATTCTGTACAGTGTTACTTTATCAAAGATTTCATTACAAATGTTGCAGACATATTTTCTAAACTTTACATCTGAAAATTCCTGAATATCTATTTCCTCATTTGTTGGATCACTCTTACTACATTTAAAAACTATGTCCTGAGTGTCTTTTGCTTCATTTTCCTCATCATGACGTGCCATGTGAGCCAAGAATCTAGTCCTGGTATGGAACCCCTTGTCACATGACTGACATCTATGAGGATACATGCCAGTGTGGATTCGAGTATGCTCTTTCAAGTTTGAAGGACGATTAAAAGCCTTTCCACAAAATTCACATTTGAATTTTCTATTCCCATCCTGCCTAATAGTTGCAGGCTTTATGACAAATTTTTCAGGATACTGTTTAGCAGACAATATCTGCTGCCCGGAATGTAAAGCTTTGTGAACATCAAAGTCCTCTAACTTCTCAAATACAGCCTTACATATAGGACACATAAATTTATTGTTTATCACATTTTTTTGGCTGTGATTTACTTTCTTGTGTGTTCTACCTTTGGTGAGTCTTTTTGGAATTTTTAATGAAGTATCTTCTTTTGAAAGATTGTATTCTTTTTGTAAAACTGGTGGAGAATCCTCGCACTTGTTATTCCACTCTTCAAACTCTGAATCATCTACTTCCTTTTTAGGTGATAAAACAGGAGGTAAGTCTTCATGTTCTGGATCAGTTGTTTCTTGTGGCATTGGGGAAGCATTCATTGACAAAATAGGAGGCGTGTCTTCATACTCTGGGTCATACACTTCCTGTTTAACAACGGAAGTATTTTTGTCTTCTGAAACTTCAGCATCACAACCATTTTCATTGAAGAAGTGTCCATCCTCATTAGACATCTCCTCTTTTATTGGAATATTCATTCTTGAAAAAGTAGATATTGAATTTTTGACATCATCAGTAGAAACTGATGGTTCATCACCATATTCAGGATCAAGGGCTTCCTGCTTGATAAAAAAATTCAATGGTGCTTCACCCCCATTATTATTCTCAATATCTGGTCCATTCTTAGTGTCAAAATCAAACTTTTGGAAATCTGAATCGCAAAATTCTTTTTTGACCTCATTATCATGACTTGATTCTTCATGCTTGTATGCATTGTCAAATTTCTGATCAATAAGAGCATTAAAAGACTCTTCGTCATCAAATTTTGAGGCATATTGCCTGTCAGTTTTTCTTCTTTTAATATCTTCAGATGGACTGTATTCTTCCCTACATGGTTCATCAAAAGAGGTGTCAAACTGCTCAGACTTTCTTTTGTTAAAACTATTACCATCAACTGAAGATTTTACACACATTTCAGAAGTTATGCTATACTTTTCTTGTACATTCTCAAAAGGAACAGGCATAGAAAATGTCCTGCCATTTAGTAAAGAAACCAATGTCTTGTGGGTTGTCCCATGTTTTGAAATACTTTGTTTTGCTGCAGAATCATTTGCTTGTTTCAAAGTTTCTTGGATGGCAGAAGTACCTTTGTTGAATGAAGGAGTTTGATTCAACAAAGAAACAGAATATACTTTCTTCTCTTCTTTGAGTTTTCTCAAAGCAGATGCAGATGCCATCGAAACAAATCCCTTCACTGATGAATCAATTTTTGGCTGATATGGGATGCATGCTTCTGTTTGTTTCTTTTTTACAGGAAAACATTTATTATGGCTTTCATTAGTCAATCCCATAAGTGAAGCTAAGTTCTCATCTATGCTTAATGCAGGTAATGTTAGGTCTTTTTCATTGGCTGTGGCAGCTGGATTACATGTATCATTTGTTGTAGATGTTGGTGAGTCTGCAACCAAAAAAGTATTGCTGGGTTTCTTAAGAATCGACATCCAAGATGTGGTTTTCCCTAATGTGTCCATAAGTTTAATATCATGATTGATAAATGATGCATCTTTTTTATGGAAAGTGGCCTCTGGATTAGATGCTGCATTTGACGTACATGTTGATGAGTTTCCTGGCAAAAAAGTACTACTGGGCTTCTGAAGAATTGACATCCAACATTTGGTTTTGCCAACTCCATCAGTAAGTTTGCTCTCACTATTAACAGAAGAATAAGCTTCTGTGCTATCCTTCCTGTTTGCAGACTGATTTGATGTTTTTTGTATTTTCACTCTATTACATATATTGTCTTCTGTTCTACTTTCTACATTTTTGTCATCTTCGTTCACATTGCTTCGCTCAAGGCTGTGGATTGATGGTTTTACTTCCTCATCCTCACTTTGAACTGGACAATCTGTTTCTGGGTTTTCTGATTTTGAAGTTCGATCTGGTAACACATTAAACATGTGATCATAGTATTCACTTGCAGCAGTCTTTGGTAAATTTTCATTTGAACTTCTGTCCTCTGTATTTGGCAGTAAATTCTGTTTATCAGCAAGAGAGAATTGTTTTCCAGGTATTTTCTCAATTGATGACCTTTGTTTATCCAGCAGTGAAACAAATTTAGTGCTGGGTTGTATCCCAAACCCTGATCCAACCCTGAAAGAATCATCTGCCCACTGTACTTTGATTTTGCTGTTCTTTTCTGGATTGCCTAATATTAATGTTTTGGGGAAGTCTTCCTCCTCATTCTCCATAGTTGTTCTGATCTTGCACACCTGTCTTAAAAAGTGAAAAAAGAAATGATTACACTGTATAAAAGTTTGAAGATTAAATAATATAATTCAATGATTGCTATTTTTGCTGAGAAATCAACTTTAAAATCTTGTCCTTGATTGGCCTAAAGGAGTCATTAAAACTCATATATTTCAAAATATACATTTATATACGAAAACGAAATGTGCTTGGATATATTTTTAAAAAATGGGCTTGAATACAGCAGTCTCCTGTAGCAAATAATATTGACTATTCTTGTTCACTTTAAATGCGTATATATAAAGAGTATAAAATCATTTTGCATAATAAAAGATAAGACATCTTTGGAAAACTTCCTCCTACGATATAGAGAGTAAAGGGATGTAACATTTAAAGCAACGATGATGATAGCAATTAAAAAAATCATTCTTGGAGTTTTTTTTTTCTACATAAATTAAAAAAAAAATACCCTGATATAGACGTGGAAAATAATAGGAACTCTGTGTACAGAAGGGAAAGAAAAATATTGGAATGGTTGGCAGAATACAGGAAATGAGAGATGCGTCGATAAATATAGGTTTTGTTAGTTCGGAAATAATATTTCCGCAATATGATTCAAACTGAAAAGGTCGAGCACATGCAAATTCCAGGATTTGGGCAGTTTCTAATACGTCGCACTGAATGAATGTAGAAGGTGAAGATAAAGAACATTAATTAATTACGGTACAAGATAGAAAAGCCCCCAACCCACTCCCAAGTTTTGTTTTGATCAGCTACACGTTGAACATTTATTGCTTTTTTCTTCGATGTATCGGCAGAGGCATAAACATGATAAATAAATGTCATTTACGGATTGAGTGATATTCATAAAAATCGAAAAGCATCTGAACAAACGACTTGCAATTATAAATTAAAGATTGTTAAAATCCAGAATTTTGACAAACGTAGCAACGTACTTTTCAAAAAAGGGGGGAGGGAATCTGACAAGCAAAGAAAAAACAAAACACACACACACACTGACCAAAAGTGTGTGTGTGTGGGGGGGGGGATGTCAACTTCCCAAAATTATCTGACAAGAAAAAAGAGGCTAATTTACTGCCCAAATCCTGGAATTTGCATGTGCTCGACCTTACAACATCAAAAAGTGGGGGGGGGGGACCAGCATCTGAAGGAAAATTTACTATGGCAAAAACTATACAAAAAAGGGGGCAGCCCACCCCCTGCGTTCTACGGGCCTGACCAGAGCAAAATAAAATCTTCAGACGCCAAAACTGATTTTAATTAGACAATCAACCCCACCAGCTTCTTTTTCGTCAAGTATTTAAACCAGCTCTAAAATGATGTGTGTTTTTTTATTCCTCATTCAACCACTACAGAATCAGAAAGTAATTATAAATTAATGTTTTAATTAAACACACACACCCTCACCCTCACAAATACACACACACTTGTAAGATATACCAATGACCATGATAAAAAGTGGACCTTATAAGTTATCATATTAGGGGTACCTTTAAACGAGGAGGACCAAAAATAATGCGACACCGGTCCACCGCTCTTCGGGTTGCCACAGATTTACCGTGCAATCTTGCAAGTAATAGACTCTACCGTATATTGAATGTCGTGGCGAACCATAGAAAATATTTTCATATTTGTTAATCTATAGTGACTGTCGCAGTATTTTTAGTAGAAGAAATAAGATGCGGACACCGTACACACTGTCCTACTATGCTCTTCTAAGAGCAAATACCACCTAGGATGTCAGATTTTTTTGCTTTGAGTTTATGAATATAAACATAAAGAATACAAGTCAAGGAAAAAAATGGAAATTTAGTTCTCTAAAAAGTGAGAGCACGATTTCATGCATTTCCATGAAATTGTTACACTTAATTTAACACTACATTCATCAATCAGTTTTGACAATTTAATGCCTTACTTTTAACATTGGTTACTTATTAAAAATTCAAAATCATATTCATCGTAATCAGATCAAAATCAAATTCATAATAGACAAATTCTGAAACGGAATTATTAATTTTTAGGAATTTTGTCTAGTGTACGATGTATTTGCAGAAAAACTTCAAAAAAGCGTGACCCACAAAGAATAATAAATCTGAAACAAACACCCTCACACACACTCTCCCTTATACATACACATACAATGGCTTGTACGTAAAGAAAATTGTGTATTTATGTTCTAAACAGTTCCCTTGACAAAAAGGTGTATCTTTCAAAAAAGGTGAACCTATAAGGTTGTTTCTGTACCTTTAAGGTTGTTTCATGTTCATTTTGTTTACTGATGCTCTTATAAAATAAATAAAGTTTATGAGTGTTTTTCTTTTATTTGTAGCAAGAAATCAGTCAAAAGAACAACACATTCCCTAAGACTGAAAAATATCCACAAGGAATATTGCTGGTAAGCATATAGAATAAAATGGATAGGTAAATTATGCTGAGAAGTTTTACTGAACATTGAATTCGTAGTGAAAATCTCTTTATTTAATTGCGGACAGTCTAAAAAATACAGCATTTAAATAATCGACCCATAAGAGAATACATGTATTGAAGGACAAACATACAATATATGAATGGTAAGGACTAACACTCGGAAATGTCTACCAAATCATTTGAATATTTCTCCGGGAAAAATAGATAACACCGAGAATTCAAGGGAAAAGATAACTATCTATTTACGAAGGGTGGTAGAAAAAGCACATTCTAGCTTCTAGTTAAGCAAGGAATCTTTAAAAACCTTCTTCTTTACTCCTGGACACCAAGCAGTCATACTGTTGGCATGATTGTACAAGCATTGAGCCCTAGCTCTTCACAAATTGTGAAATTCATGACCCCAAGATCAGGAGGTCTGGTCTTACGATTGAGCTCTATAGATTTTATAGTGAAAATGCATAAATTCTTCAAAATTTTTCTTCTCTAAGAAACTAAGTACGAGACTAAGGTGAATTTATCAATGTAAATTATGTAATTGATAGGTAAATTGGTAAAAAAAAAAAAAAAAGAATTATACGACATTTTTAAATATATAATATAAAAATTACTTTCATATAGTTTTTAATAGTCAAATAGACTTGTAAGTAAAAGATGAATGAGACAAAAAATACCTTATATATGTACATAGAATATTATTCAGAGATGAAGAGAGGCTAGTATGGTGTGGATAACATGCAGGGTGTACTCTGTGACTGAGTATTATGTTTAAACACTAGTGATAATGAAAGCGTTTAGATAGCACTGGTATATACAGGCAAGTTTCTGAGTTTTGTTGATTTTTGTTGATCCCTTTTCATCCCTTTTTTCTTTCATTTTATTTTGTGTTATTACAAAATCATTTACCATTCCACGGATCCTTTACAGGGTTGTATTACGTATACTTATGTGACTGTTTAAGGCCCTTGGGCCTCTTGTTTTAAACGTATTTCATTTAAGAGAGACAATTCAAATGATAAAGCATTGAGTTTCAGAAAAAGCATTAATTATGACAATACTGACGATATATCAATCAAAAGACAACCTTCAAAGATTGCTTTATAATCGAATCATATTTTAATAAATGATATCATCAATCAACTGCATCCAGTTATAGGTAATTTTGCATGATTTATTGGTTATTACCTGTCTATTTCACTTCATTTTTAAATATATGTACATATACTTCATAAATAATGACAAAGATAAAATAAGAACAATATACATTTAATTCCCACGTTGTAGTTTTTCTTTTACACAAACTAACAGCCACACGGAAAATTAGGTTGACACCTACCAGTGTTTTGGTCGCAAAAACCTGAAAAATGTTAAAATAGATTGTATTAAACCAAAGAACAGTCTTAAAATTAAAGGTTAATTTCAACATGCTTTTAGAATACTTTTTGAATATCGATATCGTATGATACTGTATCGATGTAAAATGAGCAGAAATTGTGTCACCATATATAAAATCGCAAACAAATACATGCATGAATACACTTTTTTGGAACATTTTAACCCCGTCGAAAATGCCTAATTAGCTACAATGTAAACATTGTTTATTATATTTTTAGTTGATCTGTTAGAGCATGCTGATTTTTTGTTTTCTCGGTCGATTCTATTTTTTTTTTTTCATTAAAAAAACAAAAGAAAGACAATTCAAGCATGCATAACGGCTTTAGATACGATCTAATAAATAAGAAAAATTGAGGTTTTAAAAAGTCGGGTTACCAGAGAAAATGTACACTATCACCATATGCCTTTTAGACCCCCCCCCCCCAAAAAAAAAAACATTTCTGAAGATAGTAAGGACTGATTGAATCTCTATCTTTAACCAGATTTAAATTATGTTAGGATTTTCACTGTATTCTGTCCGTTACTTTTTTTTTATAACTATCATCCAAAAAGATATCAAAACATAATTCCCTTCCAACTTAGTTGGCAGGGATGACTTTACCAAATATCAGTCACCATTCAAGTGGCTGTACGGAGATGGAAGGGAGGTGCGACATTTTATGAGAAAGTCAGAGTTATTTGCTTGCATAAAAACATATACGATCTTCCATGGTTTGTGGTTTGATATTACACTGTATTTTAATCCAACGAGTTGCGTGATTCCTAGCTGTCCCCGAGCCTTGGTGAGGGGATAGAAAGTACACAACTCGTTGGATAAAATCATTTCCAACAACAAACCATGGGAGAATCATTTTATCACATGTTTTCAAATGTTTTACATTGTTTTGGTATATGAATCCATTTTATTTGACTTCATCACTTTCACACAAAAATATTGTGACACCATAACTTCGTGTTGATATGAAAACGATATTTATTTATATGACCGAGATCCACTGTATAAAGGAGAAAACATGTGATAAATATATTCCGGTATTTAAGGAAGAAATTCAATAGCTATATCCAAAACTTGAAGTTATACTGTATAATCTGGGTTGGAACAGTTTATGCTTTATACCTGTAAACCGCTACGCGGTTTATAAATACAAGTTAACTGTTCAACCTAGGTAACTACAATTATAACTACTATAATATACATGTACTTCTATATATATATATATATATATATATATATATATATATATATATATATATATAAGAATTCTGATCCGAAACGAGTTTTCAGCTTCTTGTGAAGCATTCATACCAGGGTGTCCAATGGGGGTTGACAGCAATTTGCTTCTCTTTAGAAATAGGACCACTTCCTCAAATTTCCTTGACATGTGAGAAGAGTCAATGAAATGACATAGTGTTGGCAGGTCGTACACTGTGGTGTTAAGGCCCAGTTCTACTCCATTACTAATGCCATCGCCATCAGAATCGGCTAAGCACAACTCCTTTGTAAACAGATGACGACTTCTTTGAAAATCCTGGAAAGAAGACACATTAATAAAATCTCTCATTTCTTGACATTAAGGACATATTTTTCAATCCATTTATTCATTTCACTTTAATTTTTTTTTGTGCCAGCCAGAATCATTTTTATCAAATGAATGTGTTTCCATTAAAGATAAAAGCATAATTTATATATTAACAAACGTTTCATAATTTTCATAATTCATTAACTCTTAAGTATATTTAAACCAGTACCTCTAAAGTTTTTTCAAGAGATAATTTAAAAAAAAATAAAAAGAAACTTATTGGGTCAAGTAGAAGAAAAAAAGTACTCACTCTGCCAAAGTCATTGAGAGGGGTTGATGACGGCCCAGTGTGTCCGACACGGCTCCAGACGCGCCCGGGACAGCACGGATGTGGGACTCTGTCTCCGTTTAGGATGTGTTCCTTATACCATGAGTGGAAGTGGGCAACTGTCACTAGTAAACACCATATTAAAAGCTTGAAAAACATGTCTGGTTAGATTGCGATGAAAGAATAAATGTGATGCTCCGGTTTGATAAAAATGGAAAAACGTACATCCGTCTGTCAAAATCTAATGACGCTTTTCTTCTGATGGGTTTTTCTTCGCCTGTCAGTGTAAAATGATGGGATTGTTTATTGTCTCGTGCATAGACTTCTCTTTATTTTAACCATTGTACCTGTGTTGTTTTCTAATTACTTTAAAAGAAGTTCTAATGAAAAGAAAATACAAGTATCTACCTTATAAAGGTTTGAATCTTGATTTTCTTAAAATAAAAATCAGCAACAACCGAGATGAATTTTTATCGGGAGCTCGATTCTAGTGTTTCAGAATTAAGTCAGAGACGTAACTTTAAACTAAACAGAAGGAGTTCGTGCAAATCTTTCGAATGTTGTAAGGGGGGGGGGGGGTAATACCTGTAGAGGCAAATCTTATTCCTTATCATCCTGGGTATAAAAGAGGAATGCATATTTTGGAAGATTCTATTCAAGATATCAATCGTGTCTTTTTAAAAAAAGGCTTCAAGATATATATACTGTTTTATATTTTCGTAATTAAGTGTTTCATAGAGACATCTTGATAAATAGGTTTCAAAAGATGTTAATTAACAATATACACGGAAATATTTTCAATGTAACGGATTTCCCTCTTTAATGATTATAAATCTCGTAACCGCGACCTTTTTTCTCTTGTTAAATACCAAAAGATAATGGACAAACAAGTTGGTAACTTATCTGATTTTGACAATTCTAATCTCTCTAGCCGTATAACGGACCATTATATGTCATTAAGGAACGATAAAAAGACGGCGTGACGAGACAAGGACAATTAATTACCACAAAAGGTGGATAATAATTCTCACCTGTAAAAGTTATTTGAGGATTATTCATGAACAATTGTTTTACTATTTTACATGCACCAGAAAAGCTAGGTCATCAGTTCTGTTTTTTTCTGACTGAATAACTTCACCTTTAAAAATAATAAAAGATGAATTTTTATGTACCATCTTAACAACAGGTTTTGTTTTTTCCAAACCAATTATCACCGGTTAGAACGGTACATTCGGGGTGGCGGCAATGCGTGACTCGGGGTGGCGGCACCGAGGCGAGGAAAACATCAACACGGCGAATAAACCTGAATTTTTTTCATATGTTTAGACGTGTTAGATCAGAAAATTGTATTCTACGGAAGAAAGCAAATATCAACCTACCTCTGACCGTTTAAAGCAGCCTATAAGAGTGCTCCGTTTTCTCAAACACTCCTCCTCACTTTTCGGGGTATCAACGTTTTCGACTTTTGACACAATATTCTGTTTCAAAATTGACCTCAGAAGGGTTTTTTTCCCTTATATCTTAAACTGTTATAAAGTAAAACGATAGAATTAAACTTCAATCTTACTTTATAAGTCAATATATTTTACTAATTAAGCCAATTTAGGCTTCAAACTCGTTGCGACGCTCGGGGTGGCGGTTTCTGTGTCTTGCGGGGTGGCAGCATGTCTGAGAAATAGGGATTACTTTTTCATGCAGCGTTCTCCTGGCCCCCTTTCGAGACAAAAGAGATTCAGATTTCTTAGAAGAATTAAGATTATGTCATGGTACGGTGTTATTTCGCTATAAATGTGGCTATGTCAAACATTAAGAAGTATATTTTTTTATAATCTAAAGACCGGAATGAACAAAGAATAGGCACTATATAATGATAGTAGTGCGTTGCTAATATTGGTATTACTTTATACAGTTCCTACATTTAAGTTTTGAACAGAAGTCCAAGTTAAGCAGAATAATCAAGATAATTACAATCAATGTTTATATACACATATATAAATCCTTGCTGTTGTCCCTACAATAAAAAAAACTACTGAATGACTGCATGTTAAATTATTAATTGTGATAATCTGCTTACTCGGCACATATGTTCAAAGCCGAAAGATAGGAGTTTTAAAAAGTAACAAAATAATTATATTGTGGGTGTCAACTTTTTCCATGAAACCCCCTGTCTTTTTCTTTAAAAGACTTCTTATTTTTTTCAAAAAATGTATATAATTTTATCCCTGACCTGTAATACACATAAATCGACAATTTTAGTTTCGTAGGAACCTGCCTGGAAAATTATGTAAAACAGGAATACCGCAGATCAAGAAAATGGGCAAACCCACATAGCACAATATAATTATTTTGTTACTCTTTAAAACTCCTATCTTTAAGCTTTGAACATATGTCCGGAGTCAGCAAATTATCACAATTAACAATTTAACAGTCATTCAGTTGTTTTTTTTTTATTGTGGGGACAACAGCAAGGATTTATATATGTGTATGTAAACATTGATTGTAATTATCTTGATTATTCTGCTTAACTTGGACTTCTGTTCAAAACTTAAATGTAGGAACTGTATAAAGTAATACCAATATTAGCAACGCACTACTATCATTATATAGTGCCTATTCTTTGTTCATTCCGGTCTTTAGATTATAAAAAAATATACTTCTTAATGTTTGACATAGCCACATTTATAGCGAAATAACACCGTACCATGACATAATCTTAATTCTTCTAAGAAATCTGAATCTCTTTTGTCTCGAAAGGGGGCCAGGAGAACGCTGCATGAAAAAGTAATCCCTATTTCTCAGACATGCTGCCACCCCGCAAGACACAGAAACCGCCACCCCGAGCGTCGCAACGAGTTTGAAGCCTAAATTGGCTTAATTAGTAAAATATATTGACTTATAAAGTAGGATTGAAGTTTAATTCTATCGTTTTACTTTATAACAGTTTAAGATATAAGGGAAAAAAACCCTTCTGAGGTCAATTTTGAAACAGAATATTGTGTCAAAAGTCGAAAACGTTGATACCCCGAAAAGTGAGGAGGAGTGTTTGAGAAAACGGAGCACTCTTATAGGCTGCTTTAAACGGTCAGAGGTAGGTTGATATTTGCTTTCTTCCGTAGAATACAATTTTCTGATCTAACACGTCTAAACATATGAAAAAAATTCAGGTTTATTCGCCGTGTTGATGTTTTCCTCGCCTCGGTGCCGCCACCCCGAGTCACGCATTGCCGCCACCCCGAATGTACCGTTCTAACCGGTGATTATATTGGTAATATATTATCACATTGTTTGTTTACTCTGCTGGGAGGGGTTTTTTTCGGGGGGGGGGGTATTCTTTCGACCTCTATATGAATGCCTGTATGTCTACTAGATATTTCCAAACAGTACGATATTGGTAAGGTGTTTTTACTTGAATTATTACCCCCCATGTAATTGTTCAGTTCATGTAACTCCTACCAAAACAGGATAGAGTGTCACCATTTGGAAAGTTGTCAATGAGTAATGGAGCACGTTTACCAAATTAACAGATATAGAAATATATTAATTGAAGAGCGCATCAAATCAATTATTGTTCTAATCAATTCAATTAATGAGAGCCAAAATTCAATAGAGAGCAATAATTGATTTGATGCGTGTATTAATTCAATTACATGTATAGCTCTCAGAATTTAATTGAAATAAGAACTCGGTATAAATGATTTGTTAATCTCTTAAATTCAATTAAAGATATTTTTGATTACGTCGAATTGTGTGCATTCATTAAATTAACGATGTCTTTGATTCCATTGAAGACAGTACTCGTGTCAATTCAATTGTTGGTATCCTTTTATTTATTTGAAGAGAGCAACGATTCATTTATTAGTCGAATAAATTAAGCAAAATAATGATTTTCACAACTGAATAAATGCGCACAATAATTAAGAATTGGAGATATCATTTATTTGAAGAGATCTTGAATTATTGCGCGCATCAAATAAAAAAAATGACGATAACTTCAAATAAGTAGAGATATCTTCAATTATTTGAGTTTATGCTAATTTTGCGCTCCATACTGGGTTTAAAGTTGGTTTGACAGATAATTTTGCACTCTTTTCCTTTCTGGTTTGTTGGAAGAAGGTTTGCACATTAAGAGTCTTTTTTTCTGTTTTTTTTTTTTAAATATGATTTATCTTGCGTCAAAAGTCATGAAAGATATAATTTAAGAACGGATATTTACGGAAGGGTAAAGGTCTCTACACTTGAGTTATATTTGTGTACATTGTCTTACTTTTTATTGTCTTATCAATATATAATCTGTTATGACTATTAGTGACATTTTTTGGTAATATAAAGTTCGGACAATGAAATATCTAACTTTTAAGCTCACATTCTATATTTGCTTGCATTTGACTACAAAGATCATTGTAATGTAGTCTATAGGTGACATATTATTCTGAAGGACAATAACAAAAGTCATTACATTTCCTGGACTATTTGTCAAGTAAATCAAAGGTTCAGTAATTTCTACGGTGGCATATTTCTGCCCCCTACATACAAGATAAATTATGCTAATATGCGAGAAAAAGTATGTCCACATGCAAGATAATTATGTCAACATGCAAAATAATTATGTTTACATGCAAAATACCAATTTATTTTGAGAATCTAATTATAATGTTGGTAAACTTACTTTCTAACGCCAGTATACGACATCATACAAGCAAGATGCAACAGAATTATGTTGACATGCGACTTATTTATGTTAACTTGCAAGATAACTATGTTAACATGCAAGATATTTATGTCAACATGTGGACTTATTCATGTTAACATGCAACATAATTATGTAGACATGCGACTTATTTATGTCAACATGCAAAATAATTATGTCAACATGCAGTTTATTTATGTCAACATGCGAGTTCTACTTTAAACATGCAAGATATTTATGTCAAAAGGCAAGATAATAAGTTGCATGTTAACATACATATCTTGCATGATAACATAATTAACTCGCATGTTAATATAATTATCTTTCATATTGACATAAAAAAGTTGCATGTCTATATAATATGGTAGCATATTTCTGCCCCTTACATGCAAGATAATTATGTAAACATGCAACTTATTTATGTTAACATGCAACTTTCTTATGTCATCATGCAACTTATTTATGTCAACATGCGACTTATTTATGTCAACATGCGAGTTATATTTTAACATGCGAGGTATTTATGTCAACATGCAAGATAATAAGTTGCATGTTAACATACATATCTCGCATGTTGACATAATTAATTCGCATGTTAACATAATTATCTTGCATGTGACATAAATAAGTTGCATGTCTAAATAATTATCTTGCATGTTGACATAAATAAGTCGCATGTCAATATAATCCTGTTGTATCTTGCTTGTATGATGACATAAAATGGCGTTAGTAAGTAAATTTACCAATATGAAAATTACATCCTCTAAAGAGATTGGTAACTTGCATGTCAACATAATTATTTTACATGTTGACATAAATAAGTCGCATGTCTATATAATGATGTTGCATGTTAAGTTAAAATAATTTATCTTGCAAGTAGGGGGGAAATATGCCACCAGAAATTTCACTAAAATTTAATACAATTATTATAGCAAGCTTCGGGTTTCATCCTCATGTTTGTAGGAGCAGTAATGGATAGATTCCCTTCCGTTGTGGCGATGTAAAACAATATACAATGCATACTATTCTCTCAATTTGTTTCAATATACCTATAAGTTTATTTTACAGAGATAAAGCACGACTTTGTCTTAATCCAAATTGTTGTATGTATACATGAACATACAGGAAGTATAGGTCTTATTGGAAGATGTTCAAATTTAGCATGTTTAGTATCATATATCTTAAGATCGAGATTAATACTCTGTTTTTGACCTCTGTTTCTACTCTTATTGCCAGTCACACGATAAGACTCTTTAAGAATGTTTGATCTTTGCGTTGTTGGCGCGGGTTTGATTGGATCCGCGGCAGCCAAGCATGCGTCTAACTTTCTCAATGTCTGCTTGATTGGCCCGGATGAGCCTGACAAGGTGAGTTCAAGCAGGGATTATTTAAAGAATCTTTTTTGCATATAATGCCATATTCGTTAGAACAAAGTAGTTGATATTGTTGTTATGTAAAAAATTCTTGGCCTTGGAATATCAATTGCTTGAATTTATGGTAAATTAAGCAAAATATAATAAATATAAACAACTGATTATGATAAAAATGCACAATACTAAGTGGCAAATAGGAAACAAACGGTAATCAGATGATAAGAAGAAAAAAATCATCTCCTTTCTCAGAAACGCTCCCAAGATTCGCCTAGGGACATATATGGTGGACATTATGATGAAGGCAGAATTTACATGCGGTCAACTTCTGATCCTGTCTGGGCCAAACTAGCTCAAAAGTCAATACCTAGATACGCCGAAATTGAGAAAGAATGCGGTAAAGCTTATAATGTCATATCAAGTCATTTACATTTTGAGTCAGTGTATCACAAACACAATAAAAAAGATAATATCTCTGGATAGAGCGTTTAACAAAATTTACCCATGAATACACGTGTATCTCAAAACTCTTAGGTAAGATAAGCATGATTGCATAGTTCTGCCGTCACTTGTCAGATGTTTATGTCGACTTGTCAGATATTTATGTCGACTTGCAAGATATTTATGTCAACTTCAGATCATTTTGTTGACTTGTGATTCATTCACGTGTTTAAAAATTCAAAAAAACATGTCTGTGCTCAATTTGTGCAATCCAGTTGACAACACATTTCTGACAAGTCGACATAACCGCACCTGGCAGTCGACATAAAGATCTGCCAAGTCAGGTTAATCATCTGACAAGTAAATATCACTTTCGAAATGAAATGACATCTAACAAGTCAACATAATTTTTTGACAAGTCGACATATCAACATACAAGTCGATATTAGCATCTGACATGTCGACATTATATAATCATGTCGACTTCACAGAAATGTGACGACTTGTCAGAAAAGAAATTACGTCGATTTGTCAAATAATTAATTGTTGGAAGCGTATGTCGACTTGTCAGATATGATGATGACAAGTACACTAGACAAAATTGCTAACGCACCACCAAATGAAATTAATATTTTACTTTTCTAAACTTGTTTATGATGTATTTGATATATAATTATGTTGCTTAAGCAAAAAATGATGCATTTAAATGTCTTAACTGATAAATAACTACAAAGTTAACCGAAGCGTGACCATTTCATAGAAAAAATTAAAATTGTGTCTATACTTTTTTGGAGGAACAAAGGATCAGTGCACTTAAGCTATGAGAGTTGGATCCCGGTGCTTTGCCAATAATAAATTTCCGAAATTTATAAACTTTCTGAATCAGAATTATTAAACAATATCTTAAGAGCAGGGTTTGATATATTATATCACATAAAAATATTAAATAATGCCGAGCGGCACTGGTTTTTGCAACAGGGGTCTAGCAGTTTTGTCACATTTCTATTGTTATTCATATGCATACCAGTTTTCAACGACATTGTTTACATCGAGCCGCAACTTGTCCATTCTTCTCATTTGCACAGAATGTGTATTTTGATTTAAACTTATACATATCCAAAGGGCAATGTTGGACAATTTGCGGCTCATATGTAATTTTTTAAAAAAAATTCCAAACTACGGTCGGGTTAGCTATACTAAATTAACAGGTCACCGAGTGTCAACCTATTTTGACCTGTTTGATATTATAATCACTTTACTCACGTGACATTCCACTGTTCGATATGCTTTCATTGTGTCTGTCAATGGACTTCAGGGCTGTACACACGGATATGTATTTAAGTACAAAATCTGACTATGTATAGACTTTTAATACAGTGAATCCTAAGATTTTTCGAATCTTATAAAACTGTATTAAGAATAGGGCAATGCTCTATTTCTTAATACAAGTCTTAACTTAACTTTCATTTTTAAACCAATCAAAAGTACTCACATTGTGGTCATCCTATTTTTATCATAACAAAAAAAAAGCACGTGGTAAATAATGGTCGACTTTAGCAGTAAAAATATCGAAAAACTCGTTGTTTTATGGGAAGAAGATCAAAAGAAGTAACTACATGTAATTGTAAAAGTTGCTCAAATGCTGCATTATCTATTCTAAAGAAGTTTTTATAACTACTGGGGTCTTCTCTTTGCACCTCATCTAGCGATGCATTGTGTGCACCAAGTACATATACGAGTGTTCCGCCGCTGTTTCCATTACAGTGGTTTTTTTCAGTTTTAATGCAATGCATAATACGATAACAGATACTGCTAACAGAACCTCGTTTTCCATTATTGAGAGAGAGAGAGAGGGAGGGAGAAATATTGCGAGGGAAACACGTAGAAATCCCTAAAGTCTATTAACAATCTAATAAAACGTATAAACGTGTGTACAGGAAAGTATTATAATATGAATATAATACTTGTATTATACAGTAACTACAAATCTCAACGTTTGTACCGGCCTGAACAACTTCAAAATAATGAAGATTTTTGCGAAAATTTTAATAGGGTCTTAAAGTTTACCTTGTCTTCACTAAATTGTGTTTTTCGTTTATGTATTTTGAAGGAAATTCTGGTATTGCCAGTGCAAATCAAGTGCACGATTAGTATGTAGCTGTGTTAGCTCATTTCACTTCTGTATTATGGTCTGCAGGCATCTACAGACACATCCCTAAACACTAGTATCATACCTGACAATATTTGGATTGCCGAAATGAAAGAAATATTGAAGACATAAGCGAGTGATTATCGATATACATGTAGTAACGTTGTAGGATTTTCGTTGACCATGTTTTTTAATCTGAAATACTTGTTCCGTCAATAAAATGTTAATTTAAATTACAGATAGTTTGTATTTCTTGGAGTTTTCATGTTAACCTAGCGACTCAAATTTTAAGTTTAAAATTTTAAAATTTTATATTTCATTTCCGAATGTTATTTATCTATACATGCATATAATAAAATATGTATCACTACATACATGTATAATTTGTTTCACTACACGTTTGTATTAATCTACGTACTACATGTACAGTGAATTACGATTACATGTAGTGTGACATCGAAGTCATGTAAATGTGAATCTTTCTTAAAACATACATTCATTCTTTGAATTGAAAAGCATTCAGCATATAAAACGAAAAATGATAAAGCTAAAGAAAAAAGAGGGGGCTTTTTTTTTCATATACGAAAACTCAAGATTGATCTAATTCGGTGCTAGGCATCAAACATATTGATACGAATCATGAAAATGATCAATATGTATGGCCATGAATCATTTATTATTTGTGTGAATCATGAAACTACACAATCTTTCTCTCCTCCGTTTAAATTCATACTGTAGAATCAATCTGGAAATAATGTGCAAATGTTTACATTCCACTTCCATGCGATTTAAATATCTCCGCCCATTTGCGGGTACCTTAAATTCGAAAGTGGTCCAGTTCAAATTTCCGGAATTTAAGGCTTATACATGTTCTTTTCAATGACGTTGTGTGGAATTATAGCAATATGTTTAACAAAAAATTTGAAGTATAAATATCAAAAGCATATGTATGCACAATAATCATAGATTAATTTAGCAATATAGTCTAATTCAAGGCTTAAAATGTGTGGCCGAAAAGGCTCCAAATGACACTCTAAAGTGCACTCATTCTTTCTTTTTCTTTCTTTGTGTTTGTGTTTTTTATGTTTGTACCAATTCAAAAATCAGAAAAAAAATTACACAGTATATGGCATTTGATCCCAGAAGAGCGTGCTAAAACAAACAGTATGGTGTCTGCAGGGGGGTTCCTTTGGAAGAATTTGTAAAAGAAATTAAAACAATAAAAAAATATTTATTCTTCTAGTGAAAAATTGGTGCAAATAGATTGACAAGCATAAAAATGTTTAGTATAGATAGCCAAGCCATGAAGTAAACACCACATCACAATTTCAAGTTTGTTCCACAAAATTGGGGCAACCGGAAATTGTTTTGACTGGGTATGGATACCAAGGCACTGGATGACTAGTAGGCGATATGATAGTCAATCGCTGCATATTATTTGATATTTTATCGGGAGACTAGCTGCTTCTGGTGTAACATCAAGGACCATCAGCGATAATCACCAACTTCATATCTGGGCAAAAAGGGTGCGCAATTCATGTCGGGAAATTGGTTTTCGGGCAAGAAAGTCATTTTAGGGTCTAAGTCATGACACATAGACATATGTCAATCCCACTGTATTGGAAAAGATGACGTATTTTATATACTAGTATCGATTAGGCAAATGTTCAATTCACAAAAAAGAATAACAAGTGGTGCGTTAGCAATTTTGTCTAGTGTATATGACAGCTAGTGGCTTCCTGGTCATGAACAGTATCACCTGCCTTGTCGACAACAAAACTTACAAGTTGACATAAATACATATCTGATAAATTGACATAAACATATGACAAGTCTAGAAAAATATCTGACAAGTGGTGGCAGAATTGTGCCATCATATATAAGTTTGTAAAATCTAGAGTTGCTAGCTGTTCATGGAGTTTTAATTTTTATACAGGAATCGAGATTGCCAAAGAAGTTGGGTGTCTTTCGATTGGAAGCCATGGAGGAAATTACATTACCTCGGTAAAAAATGTTGTTGAGAAAGATAATTTAAGCGCAAGTGTGTTGAGTGGAACAGAAGCTCGATCTCTTTTTCCTTTCTTGTCAATTCCAAAAGATGACGAGGCGGTGTTCGAGTCACATTCGGCAGGATACATCAGTCCTAGAAGACTCGTAAAAGCCCAGATAACGATCGCAAAGACTAATGGTTGCCAACACATACAAGAGGTGGTTCGAAGCGTAACTCGTGTGGTGCCCGATAATGACAATCCCATTATGTTGATGGAAGTGACTACCGACTCTGGGACAAAAATTCTAGCAAAGAAAGTCCTTGTGGCTACTGGTGCCTTTACAGCCTTCAGAGATCTCTTAGGAACCGGGGTTTCTCCCGATACAAAGCTTTATCCATTGGCAGTCACGAAACTAGAAATCAGCAAAGAGGATGCTAACAAAATAAGGTAATGGAAACGATTAGTTCAAATTTGACGCATTTCGTTTCATCCGTTTTTTTAATACTGTCTTGCATGTTTTATAGCACCATGCCTTCGGTCCTCTATTTTGGTCGAGGCGGGGATGATTGGAGTCGGGATTATCCTGTTGATCCCCGGGCACCTGTCGTCTTTTACATGCTTCCTCCAATTCGTTATCCTGATGGTATTTAAAATCTTTTGGTTTTCTTAACAACAGGATAGATAAAATGTTCAGGAGGTACTAGATATGAATGTACAAGTCCGTTGTTTATTATAGGCTTTGGTAATAATCGACAACAGACAGAAACTTGGATATAAGAAAATACATATCTGTTGTCTTTTGTAGCTTTTAGACTAATACTAGTATTTTAATTCTTTCAGGAAAATACTACATAAAACTTGGTCACTCTCATGATTCGGTACCAAAGCTGCTGCACACAGGGACACAGATGAAGAAGTGGTTCGACCAGGGACCTGATGCACGACTTACTCGGCAAATGGCAGACATGATCTTAAGTGTGGTCAAAGGTAATATTGGGTTCCATTTCAAATTTTGAGAAGAATTCAACACGGATGAGAGCGGAGACATTTGGTTCTAATATAAATCAAAGACATACCGATTTTTCCTTGTATTTATTTATCAGTAATTCATCGACACGGTAGTAAGCGCTCGGAAAATTGTGGGTTCGATCCAGGACCGCGACAAACTTAACCTCGTTAAATTTAGGTAGCAAGTATTCATTCCCTAAGCAGTCTTTTAAGGTCTCGGATGAGACGAAAAACCAAGGCCCTGTGTCGATCACAGCAGACGTTGGTACGATAAAGAACCCTCATTCTCAATGGCCCTGAGTGCGAGTAAAGGTTTAATTATCCTCATCATCATCACTTAATCGGTATCAAGTCATCATACATAAACAACTACACATATTTTCAGTAATAAATCATTTGAAAGCCATATTTGGGAGACATAGTATTACATATACATGTACTTATAAAAATATAATGAATAAAATATTCAGGTAACCACATTTTAAAGAAATATAAACACTGTGACTAGATGATTCCAGGATAACCCATTAAAGCTCGAGAGCTTATTTCCAATAGGGTCCTATTACAAATAATATAAACAATGCAAGTTTTCTCCAATAAAGCACTTTATTATAACTTTTAGCACTGTATTGCATAAACATATGCATGAATTTTAAGTATGACAACATTGATAACATCCACACAATAATAAAATATGTTTTATGAACTAGATGTAAAACATTTCACTTTCATGTTCTAAAATGCCCTTTTTTAAATTTGAAGTTGATGACGTCTAATATGAGTGAAAAATTCTCACAAGAGAAGTAAAAATCAATCAATCGGTGTCATTGCTGTCAAATTAATATCCGACATTGCATTAAACCTGTATAATTTTGAGTGAAAAATCTTAAGCTCTGGCAGAAATTTTTGACTTTGTTATTGGCACATTAAACCAATGAATTACACGCTAAATGCACTTCATAAAACATGAGGGAAAAAAAATGGCGATGATTTCATCGTACATCGTGCCTTGTCATTGTCATAACGCAGTCACAAGGTGTTTTCAGGTGTCACGCCAGATGTGCATCAAAATGACAGATTTGTTGGTACATTTTCGATGATAGAAAGGTCATGTTAAGTCCATTTAATAAACACATTACGCACGGTATAATCTATATTACATGCACTAAGTACTGAATTTTAAGGATTGACAAGAAATGTTTAAAAGTTATATTCAGAAATTTCATCATCAAGTGTGCATTCAAGCTCCCTCGACAATAAAATATTCATGAAATCTGCGTTTAACAACATCTTCGTTTGTTGCATGGTATCGCTGTGTACATATATGTTGAAATTATGATCTATCATTTTATTACACATTAAGCATATTTCCCTCAAATCACAACAATATGCAAAATTAAGAACCATACGACATTAAACGTAAATTTTCAGAGGGAATTTCCATTGCTTTTAATTTTTCCACATTTACGAGGAAACGCGTCAATTTTGAACCCAAAAGCAATATTCATAATTCAATCAAATGTGACACGAATAACTGATACTAGGTGGCTTTAATGAACTCTTGGCAAAGATTCTATTTTGGTTAAGGATAAAAATAAATTACCAGGTCTGAGCGATTTCCCTCTATGGATTCAAGGAAACTGTTACAACTTCACACACAAATTAAATAAGATGTTTTTCCTTCTAGGTATTTAGACACCGAGCAAATTAATAGAACACGCATAATCATTTTTGCTCAAAGTATACTTTTAACAAATTAAAAGCATTTTTAGAAATAATAAAGAATAATTATCATACAATAACTGATACCTTGAACAATCGGAGCTTAAAAACTTAATTAAAGAAATATATTGACATTTTTGAGGTTGCAATCACAGGCACTTGATGTATGGATGATATTAGATGCAGAACTGTACCGTTATGGTTTATATTTTAGTCTTTGCCCAGTTATGGTCAAAGACTAAAATACAAAACCATAACACTACAGTTCTGCAGCTAGGACGAGGACGACATCCCCCCCCCCTCCCAAACACACACACACCACCATCACCACCTTCTGAGAATTCTTATTAGACACAATAATTTACAGAGTGTCAAACAAAAAAAAAACGTGAATTCATAGCCTATGATACTTACATTCCGATATCTGATATTCATTTCAGATTTCGTTAAGTTTTAAAGATTGTCCCTCTACTGTATATGAAAATACTAGTATTTAGTACTAGTTACATCATCCATATGTCCGGTGCCTGTGCAGGCCTGCAGAACGCAGGGGCCTAGGGGGTATATGAGTATATTATGTCGACAAAATAACAGTCCGGTGCCTGTGTAGGCCCATAGAACGCGGGGTGCCAGGGGGTATATGAGTATACTATTTTGCTATAGTAAATTTTCATTTAGATGCCCCCCCTTTGTTTTTTTTTGGGGGGGTCCCCACTTTTGACACCGTTGCTACCGGCCTGCTGTAGAAAGAAAATGCAGATCTATGTTATTTCTCGTTTCTTTTTTGCCAGAAAAAAAAACATTTACATCTTCTTAACTTTCATAGAGGGAAATTTTCCTGACCTGTTAACGAGCTACACGTCTGTTTATTATGAATTTTTATTATATCGACACTTTGCCTGACAATTAGACACCTTGTACGTCAAAAATAGAACAAGGTATATATTTTTGGACTGATATGAACCAAAACCATGGAATTGATTATGTAGATTTTCCGGAAACTGCATGTACACTGAAGTCAGTATAGGCTACATATGGTATAAAGGTAAAGAGTTTTTCTATTGCCGTAAAAAAAACTGTCAGCTCCATTGAAATTATTTATATTAAAATTTGGTTATATTCAGTGAAAGAATTAAACAACAACATTCATTAAATTAAAAAACAATTTTGTACTTTACACTTAGGTGAGGTTTTCTTTAGATTAAATTTGGAAGAATGTCATTAAAAATGTTTTAAGGTCAATATACGACTGGACGAAGAACTTTTTTCTGGGGTGGGGCTAGTGGGAAGGGTGTTTGTTTTGGTTTTTGTTTTGGGCAGTTAAAAATGATTTGTTAAATGTAAGAGCCATAATTCAGTGAATAATTCAGTCAATATAAAGTAACATTCCAAGTACACATGTATGGTATATGGTGCAAAGCTTTACAAAATAAAGTCCATACACCAGGTCCACTATGGGTAAGGCATTAAGATGCTCAGTGTTATAATCCATATTTCAGTCTAAAATTACTTAATATATAAAACACTTTGATTTATTACAGGTGTTAAAGTACTCTCTTTCCATGGTGACAGTTGTGTGGTAGATGTTGCCCCTAGCAACAGACCCTACATAGACCTAATCCACAACCAGCTAGGGGTAGCCATTGCAGGGAATGGATATGCAGCCAAGTCCAGTGACGAGATAGGAAGACTTGCCGTGGAGCTACTGATGAATGGGAAATGGGATACTGATCTCCCTCAGAACTTATTTTATGTAAAGTTAAAGTCAGGTCGTGGAATGTGTATAAGTAAACTGTAAATATAATTCAGTAAATCATTTCTTTTCTGTTTGATTGATAACTTTTTTGTGATGTTATCCATGTGATTCTAAAGGTTGATCAAAAAGTTGAATCTAAAATGTACCCCAAGTTTTCCCCAAGTATCAAATAAAATGGAAATGAATTTGTGTGAATGATTTATTTAAATACATTTTTTCTGTAATATTTAAGTTCCTCTATGCTTTCCCTGATATCATCCAAGGCTCTGAAAAACAATATTAAATCATGTGTTTGCTGGAATACCAACAATGATTTCATTTACAATATGTATTTACAACGTCCACAAAGTTTTCTTCCTTATGCTTAAAATACAGGTAAAACAACTATCTGCAAAAATCTAAATGTTCTTAATGTTAAAAATTCTTGTTTCAGTTTACCATTCAAATTGTATCATCATTTGATATGGTTGATGTATGCCCCCCCCCCCCCCCCCAACAAAAAATAATCATTTTATGAATCCTCAAAGACAATGGACATTTAAGTGTAAGAATTCCCAAGTTCAGCTAACAAGCACATGGACAGGCTGAGGGCAGAATGATAAGCCCCTTCCCCTCATTGTTTTTCATTCAGCATACAAGGAGCCTTTACCTGTGTGATAATTTCTTCTTTGGAGCACCATCTAGTTCTTCTGGGTACCATCTCCTGAAAGAGAAAAATGTCACACACCTATCAAACCTTTGGTATTTTTTTAGCACTTATTTACTGTACATTTATATCATATATTAAATTTGTATGTAAACATACACTACAATCCACAATACCAAATTTACCTGCAGAGTTCTTTAATGGTGCTAACATCTATGATTCTGTAATGAAGCTGTTTCATAAAGTCTGGCATGTACTTCTGTAGAAACTCCTTATCACAGTGAATACTGTTACCAGCCAAGGGACATGAGGAGGGAATGATGTGGGGTTTTACGAACTCCACCATTGTGTTTTCTGCTGTTTTTAGATCTATTTTACTGTTTTTCACTGCTTCCGTCAAACCTGACTAACAAATGAAAAACTCTGTGTTGAAATAACAGAACTTGCCAAAATTAGCATTTTATAAATTTTTATGGTTGTTATAATGACCTTGTTAGCAAATATAACCTATCATTGGGTCCAATTTTGACAGATATATTTCATATCAATTGTTAGGCCTTTGTTTTTATCTTAAATTTGACTACAGAATATCTTAAATTTGACTACAGAATATTCTACCTGATTGTTTACATAAGACTCATGGCAGGTGTGACTGGTCAACAGGAGATGCGTACTTCTCCTAGGCACCTGATCCCACCTCTGGAATTTCCAGGGGTCCATATTTAATGCCCTGTTTACAGATTTGTATTGCTTGTAAGTTTTCTTTGAGATTGATCACTGTTTGTTATCTTTACCATTTTCATTTATAACAACAATAAAGTTTTCTTTTGTTTTTTGTTTTTTTTGAAAAAAAATAATTTCTTTACTTAGAGGAAATGTGATGGATCAGGCCAGGAATCAGACCTAGACCTCCTTAACTCTAGACAGGTGATCTACCAAGCTAACTGCCTATCCGTAACTGAACCTGCCTGACTGCAATAAAATAATATGGACTTCTTTATTTCAGCCTTCTTTGTCATCACTTTAGAAGCTCTCGTTATTTTCTTAGTAGCATTTTTAAAAATATTCAGATCAACTACAAACTTTTAATAAATGTACACATGACAATCACATATTTATAAACATATGTTGCATTTAATAATTAAGTTCATAAAATAAATCTATTATGAAATTAAGGCCAATGATTTGTGAATGACTCAAGTACCACTTTTATGAACACTACTCACTTCTCCATGCTGTTTGGTACACCATTCTCCCATGTTATTCAGTACAGTGTCTGGCTGGTGGATAATGATATCTGGACCCTAAAATATTATTTCACAGATTAATACTAGTAAGATATATGTTTTAACTGAAGGCCTATGGGCCACATTGCTGACCTGAGTCACTACGGCCCTGCTGTTCTTCATCAGATTTTTCTAATATACTGCTTTTTTTTTTTAAATAATGCTTTATTTCTGTGCTCTTGATACAGTATATTTAATACATATATAAATATATTGCCCAGAAAATGTTCACACACCAGCTTGCGTGCTTCACTTATTATGACATAAAACAATATTGAATAATTTGGCGAATTTTTACATGTTATGTATGGAAAGACAAAGTGTATGCAGCCTTGCTTCTTAATATGCATCTTATTTTTAGATAGTTACACTTCCAACATGTTTTTCAGTTGTGTCCATACAGACTCAAATATATCAGCTGTTAAATTTTAACAGATATGTATTTTTCAACATTGTATTAGATAGTTACACTTCCAATTGTTTACATATATTTCATTTATGAAAGACTATGATCCACTATTGTGTTCCCATTCAGATTATTCTACCCCCAGTACTCATGATTTGAACAAACTTGAATCTTAACTGATGATGCTTCCATATTGACTAATCAGGGCTTTGCTGTTCTTGAGAAGATTTTTTTTAACAATTGTTTTTCCTACATATTCCTTTGTACCTTTGATCTCCTGTTGTGGCCCCACCCTATCCATAGGGGGTCATTATTTGAACAAAGGACAAGTGCACTTAAGCAATACTTAATGGGCCCTTTTCAGTGCCGTATTACTTTAGAATATATTACCAAATTGTTCTCTTTTGGTAATAGTTAAACACAAGTGGATATTTCTAATTAAAACCACGTTAAAACATCACCTAAATCAGCACGGACTTGAAACAAATGAAGATTTTTAAATGCCTATAGATACCCCAAATCCGGAAAAGTCGTACCGAACCTATTTGAGTTTCGTTTACTTAAATCAAGGAGAAGAGGTATTTAAGGTATCACACCGGTAATTGACCAATCAAAATGAACTTAATCAATTGTAGTTCCATACATAATAAAGAAATGTTTTTTTTATTGTGAGAAATTTTTTAATTTCCCTTATTCTATTTTTACATTTTTGGTATCTGTGCTTAGGATATTTTATGTACTTTGTAAAATATTAAAGGTTTTTGACAGGAACTATTTCTTTCGGGGCATAGGAGGCCACTTCCTGGGGTGCACACAGGATGTTTATAAACACATTGAATACACGTGGTTTTGAGGGTATTCCTGTTTGCAGATGGAAAAAATCAGAAAATGCCGTGTAGGTACCCTATTTTTTGGTGTCAGCTGATGTGACTGGTAACGTTTAACACTTCCTGCTAAATATTTTTTCATGAATTGGAATACCTGATTTTTAATGATTTTTTATTCTATATAGAATTACATAGTGAAAACAATTACCAGTGTGATACCTTGAAGGTGATTGTGTAAAATCATCTACACCCATATTAAAGGCAGTTTTAATTTTATAAAGGCATATTTCAACAAAATATGTCATTTTATGAACTTTCTGTGTGAAAGCACATATTTTAAATTTAGAAGCAGGGTTGACATTAATTTATACAGATTTCTATGTAAAATACTAATAATATGTCATGTTTTACCCTCAAAACTCCAAATGATGACTTTCAAAGTAGGATTATGCATCTGACATGTAGAAAGAAGTTAGAAAATGTTGGTTTTTTATTTTAGATGACTTTAAACTCTGTGCACCACCTGACCGTAGTCAATTATAGTGTCTACAGACTTTGCGGTAAAAGCACTTTAGGCTGATTTTTTCAAGAAAAGACTAATTCTGGGTTTGTGAATGAGTTTTCAACAAAAGCGACAACTGCGATAAAATGTGAAGAAGTAAAACATGTTTTTGAAAAGTGTTAAATTTTACAGAGACTGGGTTTACTTTCATTTTATTCACCTTAAGAGATTCATTTATTACTGGAGTGGAGGAATAGCAATAATGAAATGAGTTAAATTTGTCTAATAAAAGTAATGTACAAATAAAATTTATTAAGAATTTTTCAAAAATAAGAAGCTTATGACCAAAAATGCATAAATACTGTCAGGGCATGAGAGTGAATACTTATTCTGAGTCCCAACCATGCATCACACATATAGTACAGAATGTCACTTAGCACCATGGTATGGCTGTTATGGTTCTCTAGACTTTTTTCATGCTTTCGCAGCTGACATTCAAGATTTTTCAGTTTGCCGGAGAATGTTTTTTGTCATTTTACCACTTTTATGTAGGTGTTGACCCTCTGTTTTAAATTAAGTCTCAGTCAGGATGTTTATTTTAGCATGATTTGTTAAGCACACTAATGTACTGAAATATTAATAAATTACAAATTAAAGTGATGAAGACATTTGACATATTTACACAATCAAAATATCAGAATAACCATAATTCAGCTAATAAAGTGCCCTGTTCTTCTTTTGTCACTTCCTATAAATTTTATCAGCAGTTTTTGTACACCCACCCACCTCCAAGAATCATGGAGGATGGCCTGATATTAGTTTCTTTGTTGCATTTATTCACATTTAAAAGTGTTAAGTACCATGAAAATGTTTAAGATTTATATTTTTAAATTTAAATGTTGAATTTTTATGTAAATTTGGTGAAACAAAAAGATGTAATCTTGAATTAATCATGCAAATTCATCAAACACCTTTGAAATTCCAAAGTAATTCAGTGAAAAGAGGATAATTATGTATGTTCAATTGGAATCTCATGGCTAATCTGTGTCTGCAGAGAAAGCCAGTTACATAAATCACAACAATAAATTACATCTGAATTGTTTTCTCCATTTTCTTATCATCAAAGCAAGTTTAATGGAGTGTCAGAGCTGTCCAGAACCTCCCCAGATGCTGATATCATTTGGACTGCCCTGTTTTACAACACAGCTTTTAGATAAACTTCTGCATAGCAGGTTGTAGACAAGTACCTAGGCTTTATTTGGAACATAAATTGACCAGATGCAGATTTTATTATCAGCCTAATATTTAACAATTTCTATAAATTCTGTCATTCTTAGGAGGGTAAAATGCAATTTTGTTATGTAATAATTGCATAATGGTCTCAGACTTGTGAATTATTTTTTGTTTGTTGTGAAGAACAGTGCATATACTCTCCACGGATACAAAATTGGTTGCCAGGCTTAGTCTATTAAGGATGAAATTCTGCTTCAAAATATGCACCAAAAACTTCTGTCAGAGTGCTCAGTGTGTATTCTTGACTGCTCTGCAATAAGGGAGATCAATGCATCATATCTCCAGCAATAATGGGAATTAGATCCCCAGACTTCAGGATGTTAGTGACAGTTAGTTAAGAAATCTCAGGTGCAAAAATGAAAAAAATCTGACAACTTCAAAGGTCCTTGAAATCGGACACTTGATCTGATGGTGGATCATAGACGGGCGCGTTTGCTGAATGATACTTCTTGAGCTATTTTACCGAAAAAAAATCGAATGAAGTTGCATAGATGACTGTAGCCATAGTGATCAAACTAAGAAATTTGCACTCTTGCATTTGAAATAATACAATATTAACAGTAGTTCCTTTAAATTTTAAAATGAATAAAGTATATTTAGGTGGCTTTCAATACCGGTAGCATTGTCTTGCATGAATGTTAAAAATGTTTGACGCTTTTATGTGTGATGACATTTTAACGACATTAAACTCTCCTAACCCTCCCGTGTTCCTAAAACCAATTAAATACATACAAACTTCTGCGGCACGACTTCGATATAATGATACAAAACGTGCATGGCTATCATTTACAGTGAGCACCTTTGAGGAATGTTTACATGTGTAGAACTCACGTGACTACCGGTATTTTAAATAATTTATTCCACGGGTGGGTTCAACATAGGTCATACAGGTAAATAGCTTTCGCTTGTTATAGGAAAAACATTGAACTTTTCATACGTTTTTAATATTTTAAGTACAAGCCTAATCTTGTACAAATTTCCTACTTTCACACAAGTTTTATAAATGTATAATGCGCTTTTTGTCATTCGCATAAGTTTGTACAACGTTAGGCTGACAGTAAACATGAATGACAGGTGTCGCATAATATTTGGTCCGCCTCGTTTAAAGGTCCGGGGGGACCTAATACGATAACATATAAGGTCCGCCTTTTATAAGAAAAGGTCCGGCCCGTATAAGAAAAGGTCCGCCGAAGTTTAAAGGTCCGGGTGGTGCAAAATGTTTTAATCTTGACTTAAACACATGAAATTAAAGAGAGTTTGTTTACATCATATGAAGAAAGATTAAGGATTTACCCTAGCTGTTGTGTTTATTTTTTGTACAATATATCTCTTAGGGCAGGAATTGCTACTCCATGTTTAGTGTGCTTTTAGCAATACCGTTCAGGGCAATGATTTTAAAAAATGTCGCATTTATTGGATTTGTGTTTGTTTTTCCCCAGCATTTGCTTTGTGTAAATTAGGACGATTAAAGGTGTGAAATCTGCCGGTGTGTATAGGCAATAAAACAATGGGGATGTGAAGTATTCGTATACCTGACAGGTACCCGCAGGTAGAGACCGCGGCAGATAGCAATGACAATGTAATGGTCATGTGTTTGCTTTAAACCAATAGATATGAATTCTCTATTTTAATAAATTATGCTGAAGAACAAATTATAATACTGTTATGATATTCATGCGTACACATCAAAATTGTGATATATATAATTATATATAGTCCATTTTTATTACAATATTTAAAGAAATTTCTTATTCCAAGTGTAGAGTTTAATACTAAGACCAATAAAAAAAATTAAAGTATGTATATGCTTCCCTTTAGTTTTAACAATTAACTTGTTTTCAGTTTATAATATTTTGCCCTTTATTTGTGGATAGGGTAATATATAGCCTAATGTTGTATTCGATCTATATTTACTGCAGAAACAAAATACATGTAATGTTAAAGCTTAATACAGGTAACTCAATGTTGAAACATATACATCAGATTTAAA